TATACTATTTAACGTACCCTTCAACTACAATATTAATATGATGTTAGTGCATTAGTTTAGCCTTGTAAATTGTAATAAAAAATTAGAAAAATAAATTCTTTCCTTTACACTAATTCAGGGTAGTATGCTATTATGCAAAGACACTTTAGTAGTCTAAGCTTTAAATTAATACGAAAATGTCTAAAATTACAAAACTAAATAAGATTCTTAATAAACCTATACACTCTAGTGAATTTCTTGCATCTTCATAATTTCTTATTCTTTTCTTATATATATTTGGGACTGCCCACTTTGGTCATAACTCTCCACTACTTGAACTTATCTCTGATATTACAATTATCTAAAACAACCCAACCGTTACTATGAATATTGTCTATAACCATCTCCTTTTCGGTTTTTCTGTTCCTCTCTTTCCGTCCACATTAATTCTTAAAACTACTCATATAGCTTCTGACTCACATATATTTTCATCACATGCCCTAACCACTAATCTCTTTAAACTATCGAAATAATAATATTTACACTACATCCATTAAAAACTCGTTCCTTATTTTATGCTCGTAAGAGACTATTCGTCCATCTTTGGATACTCATCCGTTCCACCATCTACTGTCTAACATTCTCTAATCTGTATTGTATCCCATCACCAGTATCATAATAATTTTGTAAAATTTACCTTTGGTATCCTGAAATTATTAGAATGCTCTTACTACACAGTTATGCTTCTCTCCATTTAATCCAATCACCCTTTTTTAATTTTTTGTGCATATTTAAAAAGTTTGAAGGTTTTAGAAGTAGGTACCAACAAATATTGTCAATTTCAAAATTTAATTGTTCGAATGTTATTTACTATAATCATCCTTGAACGAATATATAATATGTAGAACACAATTATAATAGTTTAGTTCTGGTACCTACACCACACTCGGTGCAAGTGTGACGATATTATAATAATAATTGCAACTCTGCACGCGTGTTAAATATTAAAACTGTATCTAATAATGAATTTACATTCAATAGGAACGCCCTACCCTTTGTTCTAAGTCATCGTGGCTGCGGCGGTAATAGTGTAAAACAATGGTTAACTCCTAGGTAATTATTGAAAATACATATTTATACAGGGTGTTTCATCTTCAATCGTGTTCTACGGATTTTTATATTTTTATATTAAAATATATTTTTTTCCAAACGAATTTTGTGTTATTGGAAGAGAGAAAAAATATATTTTAAAAATAGCCATTTTGTAAAGGATATTATTATACAAATTTTAATATACTTTTATCAATCAATAATTCCTTAGAAATGGTAATTTTAGTTTATAACATTTTCAATGTGTAATAAGTAAAACTTGGTTGTTGTAAAAATAGTTATTAGTTGACAGTTTTATTAATGCCATTTCGTATCACTTAATGTGGTGAAACATAATTTGTTCATATCATTTTCCTAAAAAATAAAACAACCATTATTAAGAAACTATGCATCGGATATGTATTTACGTTTGATTAAATTGTTTAGAATAATATCTATCCCAAATCAACTATTTAGTAAATATCGAAAAGTAAACAAATAATAAAATGTTGTATTTTTTTAGTGATCAAGGCTGATAATAAAAGCGTAATTTAACTCTAAATATATTATGTCTCCATAAAAAAAAATTGGAAGAATAATTTTTCTTTTTAAAAAAATTAAATGTTAATGGAGATAAAACAAATCCCTAGAACACGGTAAAACACCCTGTATAAAAATATATACTATTATATATATTTGTTTAATTTGGACGATTTAATTCACAGTGGTGATACCCGAGAATGGAGTTGTTGCGTTACTTACACTCTCGTCACAAGTATATAATAACGTTATATACTATTATGAGTACACCGCCCAAAAACCGACTTGTTTGATTTCTTACCGCCTATTTCTAGTATAATATTATTATTAGTGTACTACCACCGAATGTCGTGTACATTTACGTTTGATTACTGCATGGTAAATTTTACGCGGAGCAATGAACGAAGTTGAACGACGGCGATGACGAGACTGGGAGAAAAAATGTGCATTTAAAACATCCCCTAACAGTACGTGTTATCTTTCGTATTAAAGGGACTGCATATAGGCAACTTCCTTGACATTTTTTGGGAAAATTAAATTATATCATTCCTTTCTATTATGTGTTTTATCCATTTTTTTATTACCAATGAGTGCGAGTAGTACACACCTACTCAAGGGGACGTGATACTCGCATTTTCTGTCGTGGTCCAACAGTTTTCATCTTGTTTTCGTCTTGCTCCTCGGAATACTGTCCTTTTTTAATTTATAATATCTAGGTGCTTTTAGTATAAAATCAAAATTAAGCGAGGCTTACTCGGTAAGCATGTTTTATTTTACGTTGCCTGTTAGTTAGGCACAGAATATACGGATATCACGTTCACTTAATATCAATATTATCGTGCAACGAGTACATTATAATGATAATAATATTATCATAATGACATGCTCATCGTCGTCGTCGTCCCGAGGACGAGGTGTATTTTGTCGGTGGTTATGTAAACGGTGATGTAGAAAAGAAACGAAATAAGTGTAATAAAATAACATTGTTGTCGTAGTAAATACTCGTAAAGACTTTCTTTAGCCGACTGACAAGACGTGGGTACCTATATTATAGTGTATAATAGCAAGTATACGACAAAACTGTGCAATTTTTAACGTATTTTTGTTTTGGTTTTTTTTTTTTTTTTTTTAACAGCAATAATATGATTATATATTTGTCTACTATCCCTTCTCACTGCGGCAGTTGTGATTCCGCCAAGAGAAACAAGCGTTATATTATATTATGATGATGAACTCCTCTGAAACACCCGTTTCTCACGGGCATTGTGTCAGAGACACCCGGCGGCGAATGGAATAGAAATAAAATGAAAAACGAAAAGAAAAAAATAGTCGAGAAAAAGAGGACGCACACGACCGGAAGAATTATTGCGATAGTGCAAACTCAAAAAGCATTCCCAGATTTATGACTCTATTATTTTTTTTAACGTCATCACGATGTTGAAGAATCGATCGCAAACCGTCAATAAATCTCGATAATAACATCCAGCGGTCGATTTAAAATAATGTATACCGTTTCAAAAAACTCTACATACACGTTTATTTATATTTGTTTTTCGTCAATTATTTCGGCCTAGACTCCAACATCTATTCAGCGGTATTCATAAAATATTTAATATTAGTGGGACAAGTCCGGATATGCCTAAGTTTGAAAAATTTGATTTTTAGATTACGATAATTCATTGAAACTCGGGATTTTGGATTATTTTGGACATTTATCGTACAATTCAAAAAATAATCTTTTTTTTTATGAATGTGGAAGTCTATAATTTGAATTATCATATATTGAAACCCGAAATCCGTATTTTCGTATTTTGGGACAATCCAGATTTATGTCATTAAATATTACACAGTAGCTGAATAATATTCCAATATTTCAATATTATTGCTTTAAAATAAACTAAAATCTTAATCTACAATATTCGTGTTAACTCTAATACAAGCAAATGTTGTATAACAGGATTGTTATAATATTATTACGAATAGTTTTCAATATTTTACCGCAAGTGTATTTTAATATTTTTATCAGATAAGCGGTGGACTGTATTTGATAAACGAAAATTGACTTTTTTCTGTCTATTTTTAATAGACAGAATTATCATTATTATCGTTAATAATTAATATTTTAGAAGACGCCCACGCTACGATTTTATTTCTTGTCTCGAAATTATTATTATTATTGGTGTCTATGCGTTCAAAATATTATGTATGTTGTGCAGAGTATTTATAAAAACAGCATCGTTAAAGCTCAAATGATTGTATAATAATTGGAAAAAAAAATTTAATTCACTTTAAATCTTCTGAGAAAATCACTGGATCGTGATAAAAGAATTACCCGTATAGAAACTCCTGTATAAATAATGAAGTATATTATCTACTTACAATGAAGATAAAGATTTATAAAAATACATTTTAAAATATTTTTTTTTGAAATATAGGAGATAATTGCTAGAATAATTATCTGAATGAAAATAAAAGATACACAACAATTTAATTAAATATCTAGATAAAGATAAATAATTAGGAATATGTATCTAGATTTTAAGAAAAGAAGATATTTTTGTTCATCATACGATTACTATTTTAAAAAATATATATTTAAATAAATGCATCTAAATGATTCGGTTGTTTATTTCGGATAATTTATTTATCATTGATGTAGATATATAAGATGAACATTTAGATGCCTATTTAGATAATACGTCTAATAATAATAGATTTCTGTTCGTTTCGTTCAAATTTGATGGAGTTAAATTTAAATCCTTTTTTGTTTTAGGAAGATCGAAAGTACCTTAATACACTTTTTGTTCCAATTATCGAAATGTGAAATAGTTAAATGTTAAATTTATGATAGTCACATACGCAATAAAATTTAAACTAAAAATGTTAACTCCAAGTTCGATTAAAACTATCACTTATATATTGTTTAAGAACTTTGACACTTAACATTTTTGTCTATCTCAAAAATTATAAAGTTTAAAAAATTTGTTTTTTTTAAAAAATGTTTACCTTTGTTATCTTTAGTTATTATTTTCCCCTATACAACGGTATAGTCAAATTATTTCTTCTCGGGCAATTATCATGAAAACAGTTTAAAGACAGTTAAGGTGGCATTCCTATGCACGCGTCTAGAGACGCGCGGCCGACGCGGCGCGATTTACTTTTAGCCGCGCAAGTACTTTATTAGTCATTCCTTAGTCATATATTAAAGTCATATATTAGTGACATTAACTTAACTCTCACTAATTAATGACATATATTAAAATATAGTACTTTACTTGTTTTTAAATATAACCGATTCCTATGACCGCGGCCGCCGCGCTCGTGGCGACCGCTTCGAGAGCAGTCATATCGCACGAGCCGCGTGGTTAATAGCTAAAATATTGATTTTTTGATTAACTCAGCGTGACTGCTAGTTTTTCAGCAGCAGTTATTGGTTTTATAATTTTGATGCTTGGGTTGGTTTTTATGCCTTCCACAACTAGGTTCAATATATAATTAAATTGATCCCAGTTTAATCTGAAAAATTCCCTGAATTTGGTTTCATCTCGCCATAAACGTTTTTCAATCAGGACACTGAAAAATCCTTCAGCTTTCCTGGCTAAGTACGTTTCATGCACTTCATTTTTATTTTTTGTCGGAGCGTATTTTATGATTGTTTGTTCTTCTTCTACTTGTTGTAATAGAAGTAGTTTTATAATACATTTTTGTTTTTTTGTTAAGGACATGGTTAATAACAAACTAATAACAATAATAATATTTTAAAACACACTTTTATGAATATACAAGTATCTACAATCTAACCAAACAGAGGCCTTGATTCAACTGCGTGTACGTGCCTAATTATTTTAGTGCCGTTAAGCCGCGCGTCTCCTGACGCGTACATAAGAATCAATAAAGATCGCGCGGCTAAATAAATGACCGCGCGGACAAAATTCAAATCACAACGCGTCGACCGCGCGTCTCTAGACGCATGCATAGGAATCACACCTTAAGAGTCGAAGTAGCTGAAAAGAAATAGCACTATTCCAAAAACAAATGTTTCCATTAAAGAAAATATAATTCAAAAGGGTGAACAAATTGAAAACAAATTCGAAGTATGTATTCGGGTACATACTTCATTTGACAATATCTAACCCCGTCCCGCTGAAATAACTGAAATTACCATTTTTGAGCGAAACATCACACTGTATTATAATGCCCGTCGTCGGATATTGAAACATTAAATAAAATACGTATCTGCAGTTTTTACGCGATTCGTGTGGTAAATAAAACAAAGTGTTCAGATACAATTTGTTTTAGGATGGCCCGCGTAACGATTGTTTTTCGCGCAAATATAGCGAAGAAATAAGCAAAAAACCCTCCCAGTTTTATATACGGGGTGAAATCTACATTTTTATATTGAATAGAATTTTTACGAAAAATTGAATTTCGAGCGCGGATGCCTATTATAAATTAATTCATTAAAAATGTATTTTCGACTTTTGATTTGACATTTTCATTGCAGTAATAGTCGTGAATAGATTTAATTTTTTGCCTCATCGATCTATTGCTGGTTTCAGACGTTAAAAAGTTATTATTTCTACTTACCAATTACCACATCAAATACCCTATACACATTTAACACTTCAAGAGTCAGTTTATGTTAACAGTTGAAATATATTTAATTAGAATTTAAAGATACAAATACCAATATGTTATGTATTTAAATAAAAGAATACTTAATAAATTTGTACTGAATTACATGTATCAAATCATTTTTTTTTCTTAAATCATTAAAAATATTGTAAATTATATTTATTTGATATATTCTAATATAATATTATTTATATCAAAAACCCTGTGTGAGCAGTCCTTAGGGATTGAATTACGAAAATCCGGCTTTGAGATGCACACTGACCCGGTTATGTGATTCTGCGCGTACTGCAGTTTCAGACATCTGTGTACGATAAATTCAGCTGTTGATCATGCATAGACAAACAAGACGAACTTTTATTAATATGTAAGAGTATACAGAATAGATAAAATCTATCTATTATGTTATTAGTTATTTAATATTTTGATACTAATTCAAACTTCTATATATTATAATGGTTTGGAATTCAGATGAAAGTTTTGTTTTAAACAATAAAATGTATTTGTTCAGGTATTTTTAATAATTTACGAACTAGGTAAGGTCAAGTTAGGTACCAACCCGCCTAGGAGTGTGGGCTAGGCCGGAAGAAGCAATGCTGACGCCCACTTCCTCCTGGGTCTGGTAGGAGTCTATATAGTCTATTTGGGGGAAAAAAAAGTTAGGTACCAACACATTATATTGTTAAATTTGTTCATAAAAAAAAAAATAAAGTAATTTGAATTGAAAAACAACTTGTAGTCATATCAATAAAAGTCTAAGGTGGGGTGATACATCACCGTAATCTCATTTCATAAATACGCTACTGTTCTGAATGTATATAGTCACGAAAGTTAGGTTACTATTTTTTTTACACTGCTTTGATAAATATAACTTAATTTTGATTTATCCCATATCCAGTTGATTTTGGTTGATTTTAATTTTGCACGCAGATTACAATTAACAATTATAAATACGTAAGCTTTATAAGAATCTTATCGTATTAATAATAAGGTTCAATCCTGATTTTATTTTATTTTTTGGAAGACTGAATCTATTGTTATACACCACACAGATACATAGCATTTTGTGATTTACAATGATCATATTTATTTTAAAAAAATCAAAAAAGTTTAGTTTTAATTATTTTCAATATGGCAATAACAAGTACACGAAAATACAAATATAATAATAATCTTAATTTCTGTTAATAAATAGTTTAAATTTTCAAATTAACTTTTAACTTAACTTAGTTAATTATAATAATAAAACAATTGACTTTTAATCCTGGTGACTCATTTTTAAATTAACCGAGTTAATATATTTAATATTATTTATTGACTTGCACAGCCTTGTTAATATTTTACCATAGACGAGACGGGGTCATCACATCGAAGAGGTCATTTTTCGCATTTTCCATTTACTTTAAAATAATATTATTATGTGTATACGCCCTAAGCCCATGTATACGTATATATTAATTTCGAATTATCCATTATTACTTAAAATAAGCTTTACCAGATACCTACGCACCGAAGACGTTTAAGTAATAATAATTATAATAATTACATGACAATGAGACGAGATTGATTACGTGCGATTACACATATTATCGGATTAAATAACGCGTTCCTTACAGTAGGAAATTCGTAATGAGTATTTTATTAATTGCATGCTATATACATACATGTCGTTAAAACTACGATATGAAAATATATTTCGATACCTACAATAATAATAAAGCCGGACATACTTCGCAATTTATACTATTAATAGGCTTTTAAAATTGAGAATGTATTTCCAATCCTATTCCTGAGTTGAAATAATACAGCATTTCTTTTTATCTTTTTCATTATTGATTCCATTTGAAAAGGTTAGGTCAGGTTAGTTTAGACGACACAATAACAGTGATATATGGGTACCAAAATTTGTGTTTATTAGTTTATTACTCATAAATGTATTAATTTTGTTTTATTATATTTTGATGGCTTAGTGCACACTTGTTAAGAGTCCATTATTTTCAAAATTCACTCTTTGATACCAATATATGGAAAATTAAATTCGTTTTACTTTTTAAAAGAGGTCTTTTTATTCTATAACCTGTATTTCATGTTATATGTGCTATTTTCACTTATCATAATTGGCAGTTAACTGTGTTTATTTTTCCTCTAATATATTAAATCCTAAACTTTTAGTGATAAGTTCTTAATTTTTGTACTTGTACAGTTATTTTACTACACACTTATCATATGTCCGAACTTAACATATATTTGGTTTTGTATTCCCCAATTTCCCCTGCCTACATGTTATAAATCCAGACTTATTATATGAGTACAGTTAAAATATTTCGGATGTATGACTTACTATATTTGAGCATAAATTGTTAACTTTAAAGAAGTGGACTTATGATTACTAATGATTTGTGTTTGATTACAAAAAAGTTCAGTAATATTATTTTGTTTTTAATCATCCCACGTTTTGATAAAGTAATGAGTATTATTACTCTTATGATGCCATAGCTTGTAATATTAATATTATGGCATAAATAATTACAACACATCAAGAAATGATATCGAGCTAATCAGCTAAGCTTTGATTGTTCATTTCATAGACTTAGTTAATAGGTTCATACCATAAAATTAAGATCCTTAATAAGAATGGTCATTGTTTTTTCAAACGGCCCGAAACCACGACCTTATAATGTACAAACAAATAAATATACTGCATTTTATGATCTTCAAGATTTGTCTTCAAAATTATGTTGGAACCGATTTGTAGATGGAACAACAAATCAAAAAATGAAAAAGTTCTTAGTCAAATGGTTACGGTTTGATAAATAAAACTCTTACTGAATTAAATTCAAATATAAATTAAGTCGGGATGATTTTTATACTATTGGCGTCTCTAAAAAAACCTTCAATTTTCTTGAATTGACTCCAAAGTATAAAAAAACAACTACAAATAAGTGAAGCAAAAAAAAAAAAATTTGATGAAACTACTTAAAGATAGCGTCATATAACCTATTCAAAACAATTATTACCGTTGTTTTAGAATCTATACAAATATTGTTCCTTTAAATTTAGAAGAGACTGGAGAGACTGATAATGAAAACTATTCATCTCATACCACAAGACGTATAGTTTTTAAAATATTATTTCTGTTTTAATTAGCAAAATTATTATTAGTTTTGTTAGTTACTAAATTGTATTATATTATTTTAACCTTAAATAAGAGTTATAATTGAAGATGTTTTATGAAAAGTGAGAATTATTAATTTTATTATATTTTTAACTAAGGTAAAATATTACTTTTTATTTTCTTAATTGATGTTTTTTTATAAGAAATGAGAATTATTTTTTTTTTTTAAATAAATGTTTATGTTTCAGTTTTTTAAGTATAGGGAAATGTTATTTTTATTTTATTTGAATACGTTGAAGAAATTTCATCAATCAATTGTTTTATTTCGTTTTTTTTTTAAGTTTGTATGAAAATAAAATATAATAATTTTTTTTGCAAAAGGTAATTATTATAAGTCCATATCTATCCATATCTAAGTCCATATTATTTTTAAAAAATTTTTATTAAAATATATACATATTACATGAATTAAATTTATGTATTAAAAATAAACTACATATATTTTTAAGTTAATTTCAATTTAGAAAAAACGAATTGATTAAATATTGCATAGGTTAAGCGGGTGTTAAAAAAGTTAAAATTTAAAATTTCTCTCCTGCACAATTACAATTTTGTGATTTCTAACAAGTGTGCACTAACATGGTGGAAAAACTATCTAAAAATACTCTAAAATAATTATAATATTATAATTAAGTAAATACGCCGCTGAGTACAACTTACAACGAACATGCCCGTTCATTAAAACTTACTCGACTAAAAGAAAAATAACTCTAGAATGTCAAATTAATGTTTATAAATACCTAAAATATGTAGAATGCTTTGAAAATGTTTTCCTATATCTATAAAAAAACTAATATAATTGTTTAATGTAAATTTCAGGTTATTATTTTTAACTGAATTTCAAAAGAAAAAAACATCCAAAATAATGAAATCATTATCGTCGTACATTTTACCATTTTTCCTACAAATTTTCTCGATTATTAAGGAAACCTGACAGAAAAGAAAATATTTCAAAAAAGACACTCCACTTGAAAATCGGAGCATGATTTCTGGTGGAAAAATCGTTTACAGACACAAAATTGTTTAAAAAACACACATCATGATGTAGTAAAACGTTCATATCACTACGTTCAGAAACTAATAAAACGTTAGTAGATAGTTTAGAATCTTACAAAAAAAAAAAAAAGTAAGTAAATAAATCCCCGTAAAAACGTATACGCGTAACCGACGCGAAAGACAAAAACCGCCGCGGGGTCGTTAAAGTCAAGCGTAATGTGCTGTTATCACGGGAGCCGGACAATATCGTTTAGCAAGTAATAATATTATAATATGATTATTATTATTATTAATATACCTATAATATAATATTATTATTAGGTACCGCAATACATAATGTGCCGTCATAAAATAGCAATATCGTTCGTAACGCCGCGGTCCAAGGCGACCGATGGGGAGATAAATCAATCGAATATTTCGAACGGATAAAAATAAAAATCATAATATAATAATAAAAAAAATCCGGTCGTCGGCGGGCAAACAATAAATCGCAAAACTGGTATTCCTGTTAATGCGGCAGCGGTTTCACGGCCATCGGCCCCCAGATGAAGAAAAGAAAAAAAAAAACGTTGGTGTAGCGCACCCGCGCCTCGGTATATATATAAACTTTCTCCGCGACCGGGATCGTCTCCTTTTTATTCTCGCGGCCGTCCGAGAAATGTACTGCGCGCGTACTCGCGATTTATTCCTCCGTTCCGACGATGTGTGACGAATAGGTGATTAAATAAATAATATATAGTTTGTGTTTTTTTTTTTTTTTATATACAGTTTTTTTTTAAACCGTTCGGTAAATACGAATATTGAAAAAAAGCAAAAACCGCGGCGCAGAAAAACCCCGTACATCATCGTCGTATGATATTATTCTTTCGATTTCCATACAGACGCACGAGGTTAGTATTGACTTAAACGCTAACTATTTAACTTTACCAGTAACGTCGATATTGTATTTTATCTGGGTACATAATTATATCTAAATGGGTGTTATATTAGTATTGATTTGTTATCTTATTATCTTATCTATAGATAAATGTAAATTATTTATTTGAGCCGTTATCCGAGGGATAAAATAAATAACCAAGCAATTTAAAATCGATTAGAAATAACAGGCTAAATATTAACATTAATATGGCTTATAAATTAATTTCTAAGTTAAATCAATCACGTCAGTCCTATTGCACCACGGTATACTTTAAGCACGTAGATGGTTTTATGATAGGTAATGAATAACGTTTTATTTATTTCAAACTGATTATTATTATTAATATATATCATCTTAATTATCTTCTGTTATCTGTATTATCTTTATTTAGACGTCTTACAATATATCTTTGTACAGCACATTTAGTAATATTCGAATGACATGAAATAATAACTTTTTCAAACGATTTCCGATGTCACTACTAAAATGATCTTTTATATAAATACATAATATACTAGTAATACACAAGATTTCGCAGGCGGTGTATAAATTCGTGTTTCCAACCTTTCTCTTCTAGGAAACCTTTCTTTTTTAGTGAATAAAAATCCTTTTTTTTCAATACCTATTATCTTATAAATGGTAAACACTTTTTACTCCACGGTAATTAAAAATTCGAACCGTTTTAATGGTTCCAACAGCTTTTATAGAAAAATTAAACTAAGGCGGTCTGAATTGTCGAACATAGGTATAAGCATACGAATGTTGGTTGTCCCATGATACCTCGGAAATTATTTAAATTTCAATTTTTATACACAAGGGCACACGTTCGAATTCCAGACTTTTCACGATTTTATTTTATCGCGACGCGTGCGCTCGACTACTTGTTGTGAGCGTATTGATCAAAACGACTAAAACGCTACGGCCGTTAGCTCGGGTGTTTCGGTAGTGCACTCGCGGTTTTCGAAATATTCGCCTGCTATTAACCTATCTATTGATCGAACAATTATTTATCGTTTACGAAAACCCGGATTGTAATGTTATTTGTTTTGTCGGATGGTTAAAAAATGTTATACATTTGTATTCTGTTCAATAATTTAAAGTTTTTTTTTTTTTTTTTTAATAATCTTGTGTTATATGATTCTTAATATTCTATACAAATTTCAACAAGCTCTCCATTTTATACTTTTATTTTGAAACAAAATTTTGGCGTTACAAATGTTTTCTTATGAAAAGTCGTTAATTTCCATATTCTGTTGAGATACGATATAATTGTTTTCGTTACCGCTACTATGAATAATATCGTTTTTCGACGAAAATTATTAAAAAATAGTATTTATTTAAATTTATATAAACTTGAAAAACCATAGAAAATTAATGACTCGTCATTAGTAAACATTGCATCACCTACAACAATAATGTTTCGGAATAAACGTATAAAACAGCTATTTTAGATTTTTAGTTTTTTCGAGACAAAAAAATACAATAAAATAGAAACATAGCGCAAAGGCTCTAGAGATTATCAAAGCCTGACTACCTGACTACTAGTAAACTAGTTTAAAACTTAAAATTTTCCTTATTAAAAAAAAAAATAACTTGACTAGTTAAAAAAAAACACGAAAGGTTTATAGAAAACGATTTGGTTAACAACTCATTTATTTTTTACAATTTTATGTTTTTAATTTTTAATTTTTATTTTAATTTTGATAGTAGACTGAACTATTTTATAACTTAAAAATAAGAGCATTGTTTGTAAGACGGGTTTTTCCAATACTTGAATTTTCAAGAGAAATTTAAACATTTTTAAATTGTGTTATTTTGCTTACGAATTAAAATAACGAAAACATCAACGTACAAACACAAAAAGGCAGATACCTAATATTTTTCCTTTTAAGTTTAATAATAGGTTAACTCACACTTATATTAAAACTCACAAGCCAAAATTTCAGTTTCTGTTGAACGCAAATTTGCTAGGTCGTGCTTTTACAAATGCATACCTATGTAGCGTTATTTTACCTAAGTTATTTTGTTAAAACTTTAGTTAAATCTGAAGTTATATACGTATTTCTTGTAAAAAAAAAAATTATTTTCACGGTATTGTATATTATTTTCGATGTATCAAAAGTATAAAAAACAAATTCACGAAACGGCGATGTTACAAAATAATCACTATAAATGATACCTATTAATTGTAATTTTCGTTTATGTGATAGGTATAATGAATTTGAAAAAAATAATATTGTAATGATATGCTATTTAAGCTAATATATATAATTAAAATAAAATATATAATCAATATTAAGTATTAGATTAAATTATTAGTATTAACCAGATTAAGATAACACATTTACACACGCACACACACATAGATCTCCAATTATAAGGAGGCCGGCCACTTCTAATAAACCCATAGTGTATGCATTGTTCCCGTTGCTTTTGGACAGATGATCACAAGCGAGTGTAAAAAACTACGCAGAGATTATTACAAAAGCACGGGAACCTAGAACAGTGTTTTATATTGAAAAAATTAATAAAAAAGAAACAGTTGTTATATTAAAAATCTTTTTATTTACTACGGTCACCTTTATCAAATTCAACAGATCAATTTGCCGCCTGAAGAAGAAAGGTAATCAAATTTATAATNTAATTAGGCTGGCTCCTCGCTTTATTTTTGAATTACAACAATATATTCATTTATAATATAGTGAAGTGCCGAAATCGGTTTATATATTATTACAATATATATATATATATATATATAATATAATATAATATACGTTCTGACTCCGATACTTCACACGGGTTTCGTTTGTGTAATTGAATGGCATTACGTGAACTTCTCGCGTCGCTGTTGCCGCGTAACGTCCAGATAATAAATCGGTGTAATCCTCGTTCGAAATCGGTTAGCGGCCGCGTCGTCGTCTAAATAATTACGCGTCGGTCGGTTAACTCATTGGCACTACCTACTGTTTTCCCATCGTTGAGACGCTAACAAAACAACAAAAAAAAAAAAAAAACAAACGACGACCGCCACCGCCACTATCTCTCGTATCCGTATAATTCGGACAGCGGCAGAACGCTCGTCCGTCCGACGTAATGCGTATTTTTTGTTTTGTTTTTATTCTGTTATTATTGTTATACCTGTTTTATTGTACCGCGAAAAAAAAATGAAATACTAATCGCCTCACACGAATATTATCGTAATAATTCAGACTATATTTTAAAAAATTCGTGTAATCGCGAATACGTATTTGTAAATACTTCACACACCGAAAACACTACACCACTATTGTATTCGGTATAGATATCTGCAGTGGCGTCATTTGCGAGATGCAAAGGTACGCAAACGCATCCCATGTGCACATTTAAAGTATGTACATGCAAATAATTTCATAGAATTTTCAGAATAATACAATAATTTTGTAATAAATTGTACACAAATCGTTATTAGCGCCGATTTTGTTATTGCCCATTTTTTTTTTCTTCATTCAATTTAATCTGATTAGTATCAGAAGACATAAATTATTTATTTATTTATTTATTATAATTTGTAACGCCTAGACAGGCATTTTGAACAATATTGGTAAATGACAAGATGAGAATAAAGAAAAACAAATACAAATACACAGTGGTAACAAAGTTTACACACTATAAAATATAAGATTAAATTATTGATTGGTTGGCTAGTCCTTGCATTCTATGAATCAGGTGGTTATGGCAGTATGAATTTGAGTGTGTTGGTATGGCAAATAGCTGGTTGCTTCTAGTGTTAAACGATAGAACGCGTTAACAAATCAAGGAAAGGAGATACTATGGATAATCTATGTATCCATTAAGAAGGGAAGGAATAAAATTTAAATCGGCTTCAAGGCGCTTGATGGATAGAGTAGGAAGTTTGAATGTATCAAGTATAAGAGAATAGTCGTGTGGAAGATGCTGAAGCTTAAGAACGAATGAAGCATATGATAAATATTTGTTCTGGACGCGTTCCAACCTTAACTGGTCCTTCGCAAGATAAGGTGTTATACTATTTCACCGTACTCTAAGATTGAACGGATCACGGCTAATTAGAGAGTATGGAGGCATTTAGCAGAGTTAACACTTTTTGTTTTACGGTTAATGAACCATTATACTTTTAAAGCTTTACAAACTTTAGCATCAATGTGCTGCTCAAAATTTAGAGTGGAGATGTAGAGTATTCCAATGTCTTTGATGCGAGCTACTCGATGGAGTATGGTACTATTCAAAGAGTAATTATATATTGCAATGGAAATCTACTCCTGCCGAAAGACATTACATTTATCTACATTAAATGTCAGTCCGAGATGAGTAACCCAATAATAAAATATTGGTATTATTGGTATTATTATATTATTGGTAATATTGTATTGGTTATATAATAATATTAAAAACTAGTGAATTTGTAATTTATTGTTATTATTAAAAATATATAATATTCTGTACCTACCTATACACTGTCAAATGTAGTTTAAGCAATTAACAGCAATTAACAGAATTATTTAATAGATACCTACCTACCTTTATTCATACCCAATTAATTTATGTTTATTTAAATTACCTATATACTAAGATATACTGAAATAGGTTTTTAAATATTGTAGTTATTACCTATCAATAATAAATATTAATATGTTATAATTCAAATTTTATATAGAAATGTATTCATTCCGTCCTTTATGTGGTACGTGATTAAAGCAAGCGGCATATTGCAATTGAATTTTCAATATTCTTATGCATCCCGTTAAAACATTTGAAATGATGCCATATTGATGCTAAATGATCCATACTTGAAGTTCGAATAGATATGCTTATTTCGAGTACCGAAACCACCATGTTGAAAGTACTCATATTATTTTATACGAATTCAAAATGTCTACACATCAAAAGTAGTTTAGATATTTTCATATTATATACGAACTATCAACAAGACTCAGAAAACTAAATATTCACTTTACTTTAGAAGGCCGTTTATTATTTTGGATTCTGAGCGTGGACAATTTTTTAAAATATTCTGACCATTCTTGAGCCATTTATAGGCATATAAGATTTTATATTTTACATTATCTTTAATAAACATATTGAGCATGATATTAAATAAATTTTAAGGAAATTAATAAAACATTACAACCAAAAATTAATTATCAAGAACTATTTAAGTTCCTATTTAAGGTAACCTTTTTAATATTACTAGTCTTAAGAGAGATAAAATATTCGGTTTTTAATATTTTGATAGAAAATAAGATAACAATTAAAGATTTATTGAAGATTAGGCTAAAAGATAACCTTCACTTATCTAGATAACATAATCCAATTACTAATTACATACTACTACATACTACATTGAGATGATAGTATTTTCCGTATTTTCGAATTCGAGAACCCAGACAATTTTTAAAAATACAATAAAAACGTTCGTTGATATTCAATACTCAATATTTGTTACGTAAACGGTCTTGGTGAGCATAATACAATCGCGAAGAATATCAAATTAAAAACATGTACGCAAATTGCATCATCTTTTGATAACACGCATGCGAATACTCGTTTTTCCCGTTAAATGTGCAAAAATCGAAAACAATAATGTTATACAGGATTTATGCAGCTATTGCGCAAATTTGCATAATATTACGTTTTCCGTTCGCTATACCGATGTTATTACGTGAACTTTAACAGATATAATTATTTAAAAACATTTTATATTCTACATAAAAATGATAGGAATTAACTTATGAAACATTTTTTTAAGGTTTATGACGGTTTTAGCTATAGAGATTTTCTACAAAAAAGTTTACAATACTATTAGTGCCTGGCAGTTTACAAATTATTGAACTAATTAAAATTGAAAGTTATTTATTAATTAATTTTAAAATAAACTAATATAATTCGATTGTTAGAATTTAAATTGACAAAATGTATAAGATGTGATTTAACTTTTCTTGCATTTCATTTTATTTAAAATCAATAATTTAACTTAATTGAAATTATCGAACTTAGCTAGAAGTGCCTAAAATTAGAAGTGATAAAAAAAAATTTGAAATAGAATAAAGTTAAAAGTTTTGATTTTAATATGTCGCTAATCTAAAATTAATTTTTTTTTTTTATCCTGATGAATTCAACTTGTCTATTATCTTATCTAATATTATTTAAATATATGTTATCTTTACATTGTTCCATTTTAATTATCTAGGTTTTAAAACTGGTATCATATACGTTTTATTCGTTTATGTATATTTTACACGGATTTCTGTGTCGGAAGTGGAAGAAATATTAATATGATAAAACAGAACGTTCGGCATATTAATAACAAAAAAACGTCTTGCCGGACGAACGTCCGATGACTTTTTTGAACAATTCTTAATATGATTATGTAATAAGTATTATACTATAGTCATTGTACAGGATGTCATCGGTTCGTCGTAATATAGACAGTACAGACAGATCGTAGAAAACTGGAGTTTTCTAGAAAAATTGTGAGATTCTGGTGGAAGTGAGAATTAGTTGAAAAATTTAATTTCGTTCCCAAAAAACTTATAGAATCTATATTTTTTGAATTGCTGAAATTTTTTTTGGTTGCTTTTAAAATTAATTTTCCGAAAATAAGTAAGTTTCAAAATTGTATGGGATCGGGACAAAACCCTAGTTATATTTTTCTCCTGTAAAACGGACAATTAGAATATACGAGAAAATAGGCACATGACACGACACGTGGCATTCCGCTACGATCCCTAGTGACTGGAAAGGTTTTTTTTATTTTTTCATAAATTCGCAACATTTTATTATATTATATTTCAGAAGCCTTCGGTATAAAATGTCTTGTGTTCCTATAAGCGTTTTTCTGCCGTACTGCACCGTTTAGCTGTATGGAAAAAATAATTATTGGCGATAAAACGACAAACTCGTTAAAATGTTATAGTATACTATTATAACGATATCAGCAAGCCATCTAGAAAACTTCACCAAAGAGTACGTTATATCCATATTTGGATAGTAAAGATATGAATGAGCCATCGTGCTATTGTGCTCGTGTTCGATCAGAGAGAATGGCTTGTTACCAATAAGGTTACGTAGTTACCGAATCACAGTATTCAATAAACACAATTTTATCACTGACGTTTTTTGAAAACAATTAACAATAATAACATTCGTCATCATTTATCATTATCAAATACCCGGCAACCCTATATAGTTTAACTACTACTAACCAGTAACCACATCAGTGATAATAACTAGTAACGTTCTTTTCCACGGCCCATCTGTTTCTTTATTATTAATATGGTTATTACGCGATTGGTGGGCGGGTCACGTGCATCCGTATACAATATTCATTTTTTTTTTTTTTTTTAACGTTACCTTCATATTATTATTTGGGTTTTCATTGTTTGCGAGGTGATTACATAATGATGAAAAAAAATGCGGAATTCCGTTAACGGAGTATAGGTCAATCTAAATATTTAATAATGGTACACAGTAACCTCGTTAATAATAATATTTTGTTATGTTGTATTACAAAATATAATATTCGGGATCGTGCTCCATTTTAAACATAACTTTTTTTATAACAATATTCGATAGTATCGTTTTCGGGGGGCTGTTGCAGCAGTCGAACCCAACCGTTTAAAAAGTATTACATTTTGACATTTTGATGCGGAATATTATGGAATTTCATCACACTACTTTTGGGATACAATGGCGTACTAAGCGTACATTAAAAATTAATTAAGACGAACAATACTATACATATTATACATTATACAACAATATTATATGCTTTGCTCGTAAAACAAAATACTTTTTTTTATCACCTCTACCGGGATATTTTGTAATAAATATCCAGAGTGTTAACTCCCACTTCTCTAAAAAAATTCCACAAGGAGACATACCAAATCTTTCCCTTGACATTTAGACTTTCCCCAGTTAACAATCTACCAACCAGTGAGAATATTTCCTACAAAAAAATATAATATCTTGTAATAAAATCAACTAATTCAATAATTTAGAACCTTATTTTTTCTAGTAGTCACAAAATAAATAAAATCTTACTCAAATAGACTTTATTGTACGTTAAGTTGGGTACAAAAACCTCATTAAAAATTCCCTGCCTTTTTAAACACTTGTATAATTATTCTCTTCGTGTATGACGGTCCCAGAGCTCAGAATTGTTTTCGAGTTTTAAAGATACTTCTAAAAAAAAATAACCGATTGACAGTAGTGTATAGATTTTCACAAAGTCCCAAAAGTATATGGTCAAAGCGATTTCATCTCTTTACTAACAATGCCGGTCGTCAAAAATCTTTTGGATTCATAAATTGTGTTTTGATGATGACGTCTATTTCCGTATTTTTCTAGAGTTTATTGACCGCGTTTTTCAATCTTTAGAACGTTCGTTACGCAATTCAACGTGTGTAGGTCACGATTTTTCTCGACGAATAACTTCCAGACATTAAAAAATAATCATTGTTTTAATACACGCGTGTGCTCGTTACTTATTTTACGGTTAAGCACTGTAATACTATGCGTGGTGATTATTTTTTCATTCTTTTATTCGTACCGTGTTAAAATCACGTTTAACATGTCGCGCATAGATATTCATAAAAAAAAACATCATTTTTTATTGTATTAAACTCGAACCAAATGCACAAACGTGTTTTCAACACGAAGCCTGATAATTCTGATAACGTCTAAAAAATTAACTAATATGTTTAGTTTTCAATTAAGTATTTCTTTTACTAAATTTTAATTTACTAAAATTCAACTAAACGAAACTTCATCACGAGACAACAGAAATTTGTCTAAGGACATACGGATGCATATTGAATAGACAATAACGATATATGTTCACGGGGGATGTAAAAGGCGAGAATATATATGTGTAGTTGACCTCGCCTTCGCGAGATAACGGCGAGTAGAGAAGAAAATCTCTTTGTATTGTACTCGTGAACATTACATTTTTAAAATGATTATTTCTTGTTTTCATTTTTTTTTTTTTTCAACGGAGTGTTTCGTTTTATTTTCAGAGACAACCCTCACAGACAGACCGTGAAGATGTTGTGGTCGTGGCTGGTCGTGTGCCTTCTGGCGGCTCTCGTAAAGGTAAGTCAAAATGACATATACGAGTATTATAAAATATTAAATAAAGTTCAAAATTAATTAAAAATTCAAGTTTTCGTGGGTTATTATTAAATTACTGACAATATATATATATATAATCATTTCGGTGGTGTAATGAACGAAAGAAATGTGTTGTTACTGCTGATAAGTTGATGAGTGTGTTCCTGTTGTAGGTGAGAATTTGAAAAAGTAGGATACATAAAGTTATTGTTGACGTTATTACTGACCATTACTGATGAAATACGATACAGAAATAGCTTTGAAATACTATGATTTTTGCAGTTTTTGTTAAAATTTGATCTTAAAAAGCTTATAGAAAAACACTAAATAATAATACATTTATTTTTTTACTGCTAAGTATAACTCATGATGGCCTTGAGTAAAATATTTAAGATAAAAAATCGACAGAAAGTATTACAAATTTAACTAAGTCTAGAAAGGACTAATATATAAGTATTCTGTGAACATTTTAGGTCTACGATTATTTTTAACCGAATTAAAACAACAAAATAAAAAAAATAAGGAAATCGTAAACTTATAATTTTGTACTATGTTATGTTCATTTGTTTCCCAGTCATTAAGAAAACTCCAAGAAAATTAAATAATTATCTCTTATTACACCAACTAGATACTATTTTTTTTTACAGAAAAAATCCTACACTTGAATTTTGGAATAAAATTTCTGGTAGAAAAACAAAATTAAAAATATTGTAACTTTTTACTACCTACAGTAAATTTGTTCATTTTTTTAATTATTATAAAAACTGCTTGGAAATTTAAAAATAACTTCTTCAATTCAATTCAAAGTGGTAAAAAAATGCTCTCGTGTCATTTTTTTTGATTGGAACAAAAAAATAAAATACTCGTCATTGTAAAACCAATAAAACCTAAATAAATATTTAACAATAATAATCTAAAAAATAAATACTCAGAGTTATAGATAGAATAGAGTTATTTAACTTATATCTGTACGTAACGATAAATCATTAAACTGACAAGTAAAGATTGTTACTTAAGTTTAGTTAAACCGCATGTTTTGAAATGCCACACGATTTTCATGATATTCATTAAAATTAAAATTTAGATGAACCTATTGTTGGATTGTTGAGTGTTTCTGCTAGACCAAAAAAAATTGCATTTACGTAAAAACATATTAAAAACGAAATAAATACAAATATTTCAAATGGATTACTACATTCCGCGCTTCGTGGACAATCCAAAAAAAAAAATCAAACCATTTAGATAATACAAATTTACTATTCAGACAAATCGAATTTCTTTTTATGGATATATTTTTATATTATTATTTAATCGCAAGAAATAATGACAATCGATCAATTATCTGGGTAAACGACGATGGTCGTGCACGTAATACTACATCGGGTCAAAGCTCAAGTCCGTCTTCCTCTCGCTGTCAAGCCACTTTCAGAGATGTCTCTGCAAAGAATACACGGCTGTAGTGTAAAAAAAAAAAAGCGGTTTATAATCAATCAGTTCGAAATGTCAAGGATGTACACCCACGATTGTTTCAAAATCTCCACACTGAGACGTGTACAGAGTTTGTTCGCGTTCGTCGGGGTCGTTTTTCGTCCAATTGTTTACGCGCGTTATTTTTCCGTTAAAATTTCACAAAACAAAACAAAAAAAAAAAAAAAAAAATAACGACTTGATTGATCTATCGAAGCGCGCGGTGTATCCTCCCGGAACGATGTTTTGTCTTTTCATCTATCGATTGCCTTATTTTTTCGATCGTCATCTCCCGTGTTTAGAGTATCGAACGCGAAAAAAAAAATCATGTATACTGCGATACCACGACAAAATCCATTAATGCTAATTCCGAATGATAATAACTATACGAATTAATAAAAACGTTCCTAATAGATTAATGTATTCAAAACATTTAATTAACATAATAATATACTAAGTATAATAATATTAATAAATTTGCTAGAAAAAATTTAATTTGGTGTATTTAATTTATTGATGGTATTTTAAAACATTATTTTCATACATACGTATTCAATCGCTTTTAATTTTTTTTGACTTTGTTTTTGGTGTCCACCTGTATTGTCCGATGACAATGTTTTTAATCAAATCGAAAACCGCCGTAAATAAACACAATGTGCAATATTAATAAGTGAGGTAGGAGTACCTTAGTAAATTAATATTTATCCAATACAAGATTTGGTGCGCCTACTTATATTTTATTATAGCATTTTCAAGGTGCGGTGGAATAATTACTCCATAAAACCACCACCACTGTTGGATCCGCCACTGCTTTCACTGCTCAATATTATGCCGTTCCAAATTTTCACTGCCACCATTTCCATATGCTTCTCGGCCATTAGCTAATTCTTCGAAGTTTATTAAATTTTACTCTTAACATGTACATATTATCCACTTTGTTCAGTACCTATGTACCAATTTTCGTTGTAGACGTTCTAAAGTGGCCCATTTCAATCGGAGATTCGTTATTTTTTCGCATTTCAAGTACTTTGGTTTTGTGTAAGCCTAGTATAGCAGGCAGTAAATTTTCTTTTTGATTAGAATAAAATTTAGGGTTTGAACTGGAGGGGTGGATGACTCTTAAAAGAATTGTTGACTCACTGGATTTCAGGAAGCACACCCGCATGTGTTTATTTTTCGAAAATTGTCTATTCTATAATACCGGTCTGTGTGAGGAGATGCGAACAAATATCGTCAGGAAGCATCTTCAGGTACACGACACTTTAATTAATTTTTTTGCACAGCGGGTACAACCGGACGATTAGACGAGCGCAGTCACGACGTTGTATAATACGAGTATTATGCATTATTTAAATTAGATTAAGTATGTTTTTTCTTTTTTTATTTAACGGTTTCGTATACAAATAAGTATGTAGGTACACGAGTTGTGAATGTTAATTATTATAAAAAAAACACGTAATATGGATTTTCATGTTTTTTACTGTACCGCGACAAACAAGTCTAGAGTGCTGCAGTTATTTACTTAATCATAATAATATTATAAACGTTTTTAAAAAGCATAATAATGCAAAACGGTTATTCACTATGGCGGCGAAACAGTCGCCAAATATTTCTTTCTATTATAATATACGAACGAGGCTACAAAATTATTAATTTTTAGTTTGAGTTTACAATTTATTTTTTTTTTTTACATTTATTATTCGGAAAAAGTTTTGTCGAGTTATATTTCTGTACAAAATTCGTTATTAAAAATAAATCCTCTCGCTTTTTTATTTTTATACTCGTTCGTTTGGGGATTAACATAATAATATTTTCGTTTAAAACGAACTGTAATTCTGATTTTAAATTTAAGAAGAGAAAAAAAAATTAATTATTCATATTGTATATACTACAGATCAAAGAAGACGATTTCACAAAAATAAATACGTATTAATAAAACAAATAATAAAAAGATATTCGACGGTTTTTGATTAATTAAAAAAAAAAGTAAAAAATAAAGGAAACGCTACAAATTTCGAACACGATTTTTCAATTATATTCCAGTATATTAATATTTGATTAAATCGGTTACAGTGGCGCTGAAGTTTTTTAATTTATAGTTTTGAACATAAATACCAGAAATCTCCTAGTAAATATTTTGTCAATAAATTAAATAATAAATGCATTAAAACGCTTTAAAATACTGCTCGATACTGCTCACTGGTAGGCAACTGTTGTAACGGAGAAGATATAGGAGAAGACGGGGAAGATACAAAAGGGTAGTTTAATATAAGCGAATGCGACGTTAAATTATTGCAAACGAAAAAAAAGATTCCCAGCCGTGTATATAATATTATTGATAGCGATTTCCCCTTGTTGTCAATCTGGGGACGCAAAAATCAACGGAAATCAAACGTCAACGTTAGAAACCTATTTATTTATATGGGTGAACTGCTGAAGTATTCGAATACGCCGGGAGGCGGAGGAGGGATCGAAATAAAATAGTTTTGAGACCGAGTTCATAATACGTAATAATTCGGACTGCGTCCCGTTAAAGTGAGAAAACTGCGTAGGTGTGCAACACAATAACACTATAATATATAAACGTTTTAATACGATAAAATAAATACGAAAAAAATAACGTAGGATAATAAGGATGGGTGCAGCCACTGTTATAGGTAATTCAATGTATACCTGTAAGCATGGATATAAACCATTGCTTGCGAAAAAACGATTCTGAGCAGAGTTTAAAAACTAAATAGGCACTATATATTTTCTTTAATAATATTTGTTTAATGTTGTACCGATTTTCCTGGTCTTACCAGTTTTTCACATTTGCTGAGAAATCTCCGGGGAAAATGGAAAACCCACCTCTTTAAAGTATATCCCCAGTGAAATTTCCTTTCAGAAATATTGCTGTCATTAAAAATTGGAGCAATATTGCTGGTAGGAAAGTTGTCCGCAGAAAAAAAAAATAAACATCTTTGTAAAACCATAAGTTTCTTCGCTCCATTCAGAATCTAAAACCCAAACTGAAATACAGGCGTATAATACTGCGGTGCAATGTTTTCTCGATAACAATGCGTCATTAAACGTCATAAGTCTCGGTAAAAGTGCCGCACCTCCACTCATCGTGTTTTTTCGCGGGCCGTAATTTTTAATTTTATTTTTAACGTAGGCATCCGCGATAATACGCTCTGCTAGCGTACACAATGAAACGTATAGTACGTCTTGTACGGGCTCGGGTAGGCGATTATAATATTATTATTATTATCATCATTGTGCGAAACCTCCGAATATCACTATCATTATTATCGTTGTTGTTGTTACCTACACGCATGTGTATATCGTATATAGCGCATGCATATCGCATATTAAAATATCGAAGAATCTCGGTTATACAACTTTGTACTACGGTTACGGTTCATCTCGAGACAATGATGATTCGAGACCGGTCTGTGGCGTTTACACATAGATATAACCGTAATATTATTACGCACCTATACGCGTTACAAATTGTTACGAGAATGACATTATCAAAACTCACCCGCCAAATAATTTTAATAATATTTAATCGTTATTGTCGTTATATTATGTTATACGATGGCGATGTTGCGTTTATTTGGCTTTCCACGAGCGCACTGCAACCTCCCATAGTTCGGCCTCGCATTTAACAGCAATTTACAATAACGGGGTCGTATGGTTCAAATTATCTCCTTCTGGTTCAAACCTTCTACTGGCTTCGGCTCTTAACATCGCTTGACTACAAACCCGTCGTCTGTCCCGGCTGCCAGTCTCCTGCGGGTTCTTTTCGTTGAGTTTTCGGATCGGCTGCACCAATGTTCTTTTTTTCTACGCGATATTTCCACCGTAAAGTCAGTCTCCCTAAACAACCTTTTCCTATTATAAGATATTAAAACACCCGTTTAACTAAAAATTTCTGATTATGACAAACATGGCACGAGCACATGGCAGTCTTATTTAACGATCTCTTTAACGACATCAAGCCTTTGGAACTGTATTCGGACTTTACATTATTATGCAATCTTTTCAAAACATTAGTTTGAACACAAAATATAAGGATATAATATAATATGTCTCCGAGAGCTTTTTTTTTGAAAACCGCTAATATAAATCGTGTGGCTATACTAAAACAATTGTTTGTCATAATTGTATGCACATCGTTAACTGTATTTCATTGGAAAAGGCCTTTAATTTAAGTACTTTTTATTGTACGCAAAACTATTCGTTAGTTGTATTCTCAACGATATTCCCGTTAATACGTCATTTTCTTGTATTATTATCGATCTCAAAAATTAAAAATATATGGCACTTTTTGTGAACACAAGTACTACTACACAAATATTCTAGAAGAAAAAAAAAATATTGGTCATTCATAGATCAATGTTATTGTAAATGAGATGTCAGCCGACAACAAGTGGGAAGCTCGGTTAACAGCATATTTTTAGGTTCGGACATAGCAATTAAAGCCTTTTTTTTTTTTTTAGTATAAAAATAAAAGGTTACGACCCAGACATGGAAAAAAATATGTTAATAAAAAATTATAGTTTTCTCGGTTTTTACTTAGAATCTAAAATAAACCTGCTTGAGCACGCATATATCGAGGTCAATTTAAAGACTAATTTGTTTCGAAACTTAACTTTACGAATTATTTAATAACATAATTCCAGCACATATTACCGTTGTCGTTTTTATTAAATTTAAATTTTCCGATTTGAATATTTTTGTCTGCGTACTTTTAGCTTTCTCGTTTTTTATTTTTTTTTGAATTCCGAGACTGTTCATTTTCGTGACTGTATTAATTATTTTCACAATAGAGAAAAAAAAATGCTCAATAAGAATAATTTTTATTGCCGACGGCACTTTGAAATTTCTCACGTTTCATATCGTCTAAAGAACTAAAGAATGAAAAATATTACAATAAATTATTGAATTTTAGATTTACATTGCTTATGTGAATACATTATTTTACAGTTTTCCGAACGCAAAAACGTCTTTATAGTTATTTCTATATCGTATTCGAATTTAAAACGTAAACTTACGTATTACTTGTCCCGTTCGTGGAAATTCATGAATTTTAACGTTGCTCCGACATTAATTTGTGTTAAATTCAAAAAAGTCTCAACCACATCCACCTACCCATGAATAAATAATTTCAATTACGATTACGAGTTAAATTTTTTAAACCAACTTTAAATAGGTATCGATATTAATTATTAAAATGAAAAAAATCGTGATGAAACGTCAACGGAATGTATAGGTACCATGTATGTTTTTTGTTCGCGTTTTGGAATATATTATTATATAAATTATCCATATAACTGGTATGATTTTTATAATATATATTTAATATGTATTTTTAATATATTTGTATATTTAGAGTACAATATTATTATTCTGTTCTTCTTCTTCTTTTGTTGGCTTTTATATAACTATTTAAGAGGTGTTTTAAGAGACGCCAAATTAACAAAACGCATCTTTCCATATTTCGAACAACGTCTCTTTAGACTTTTGTTTTTAGATTCCTTGGGTCCTTTTCGGGATGGTTAATTCATCTTTTTTCGGATCTTTTACTAATAGTTTTGTGTTTTCTCCCCTCTATAACAACATAATATTAGTACAATACAAAAAATAATCAGTCGCGATTTATTATTAATGGATCTTATCACGAGCGGTCGTAGCAAAAGTGTGCGCACCGCCACCGGTCGTAGTACTCCGCAGGGCTTCTCTGAAACATGTAAAAGTTTTTCACGAAAATTCTATTTTCGTATTTTACTTATAGAAGTTTGTTTAAAACTGTAATTCAGAGGAAAAAAGATTTATGACGAGAAAAAGAAGTAGAAGAATTTGAAAAAAAAAATAAGTATGTAAGTAATACGAACATAGTAAACATCACCGTAATATAATACTACAGTTACAAACACAAATAAAATAAACTATATTAAACCGAGGATTATATTATTAAAACTACGGATTTTTGGAAAATGTTTGAATTTTATCCTTATAGCACCAACAATAATAATAATACTGTACATACTTCCCGACTGATATAACTGCACAAATGTTCACAATTATTTAAAGTGCCGCCGAACCATACGCTTTATTATTAAACCACATACCGTTTATACCTACGAATGGGTAAATCATTTTTATGGTAAGGTACTCGTACATGCATTTAGAAAATATATAATATATAAATTACACGTACGGAGATAGAGAGAGGAAGATGAGAGTTCTCTCTTGGGATAGAATTCAATATGGTATACATAAATGTCGTCTTGGTCGAAGAATATTATTTGCATATACCTACAGCGCCCTGATGTAGTTGTAATAAGTTATAACAAATAAGCAAATAGTAAAACGGAAAATAATCACCGAAAAGCGTGATATTATATTATATTGTATAATCTAATCTAATCGGAAAAAGATTATTTAAACATAAACGCAAGGGTAACAACGAGGCTATAAATACATATTATTGATAATAATCAGTAAGTAAAGTAAATCGGAATCAGTCCATGCTACGACTGTGGTTTTTATATTACATTAATCGTACGAGTTCAAAGAATAAATCCATTAAATTCACATGTTTATAAGCAATATAATCACTAAATTGTGGAAGAGACAATACGAAAGACGTAGAACACCAAGAGGACTATTTGCGTTAAACAAAATTATTGGTATTTATTTAATAAAATATTTATCGAAGACATATAATAATATTATTTGAACATAACGCTATAATATATGCAAATGAAACCTACACATAATCAATATCAAAGAGAACAAAAGATATTAGGTACATTTTAATTATAGTGTTGTGGGTGAACGTTTAAAATAAACACTGAGGCCGGAACGAGTGGATTTATCATATGTTCAGACATGTAGGTCGGTTAAAGGGAAGAACCATATAAAAAGGCTTAAGCTGAAATATTATAATATAAAATTACAGATCATGAAGAACTAAAGATTCGATTCCTACTTAGTACTGAAAAGAAAAGTGGACAATGGAAATGGATGAAGTAAAGCTGTAAAGCAATCTGAGAATGATGGCAAGAGACAGAGCAAAACAATTTATCAAACGGGGAAAAAAATCACTAAGAAAAATGATTCATTTAAAGTAAAAAATTATTCTCTACTGCGGATAATTATTCAAACCGTATTAATTATCTCATCATTAAGATAAGTCTCAAAATATTTCTGAGGGGTGGGGACATTCTTCGTCGATATTATTTTACGGTCGCACGGAGCAGAAATTAATTTCTCTGTTGATAGCGAATCGCAATTCGTATACTATTATACGAGTATAATAATTAAAAGATAAGAGACAGTTGTGAAAAAATAACCGGCAGACCTGATTCTGGTCCGCGACGATACGATAACAAATTATTATTCGCCTATTATTTTATGATAATTTGTGTATTGTTTGCCTGCTTGGTACCGGCGTTTGACCGTTATTATGCCTTAGTGGATCCAAAAAAAAAAACTCGACCGAAGCCGTTTGAAGAGTTTGTAGAACAGACAAATACACAATGGTATAAATATTAATTAATGGATTTTCTCTAGTGTTGAAAAATTGTTGAACTCACGATAATATTATGTTTTTCGACTAAATTGTTTTAGTTTTTATATTTTTTTTTTTGTTTGGTCAGATATTTTTTAAGAGAAGAAGAATTTCTCTGACCTGTAATATAATGTATATATTTTTAATAGATTATCAAATATTTTGCTGCTATACTTTAATCGTAAATTAGTTTTTTCTCTTGAGTACCCGAAAGACATAATTGGGTTTGTAAGATACGTGAATAAAACGTATATAATGGTAATAATACAGGTATACATTTTTTTTTCTATAGCACAAATGCCAAGGAAAAAAAATATACATGGATAATATTATATAAATACTTATATCTATCAACTTTGTTACGACTTTTTTTGTGTCGCATGTACCTAATGTTGTATTGGTATTTCCAATTGTGTGTTAATGTGTTTTTCCAATTTATTTATTTATGTTCGTTTATATTTATTTTAATTCAAATATATCTGAATAAAAAAAGTAAATACATAAATAAAAACATTTCATTTTAAAATGAATACCTTCTCAACTACGCATCGAAGCTAAAATATTACTTAAATTAAAAAATTAATAAAAAAAACCAATGGACATATTTCACACGATGGGCGTGTCACTATTGTAGGTGTGAAATCAGGAAGGTTGAGGGGAAATTTAATTTATATATGTACGCAACGATCAATCATTGCTAACGAAAAACGATTCTGAGCAGTTTGTTTTGAAAGGTCGTAATATTTACAATTTGAAAAAATAATATATTTTGTACGTTTTCCAGTTTTTTCTATTTTTTCCCTTGGTTTTTTCGGTTTATTATGAAGACGCCTGAGAAGATCAAAAAATTACACTCTTGAAATACTATCCTAATCAGATTTCTTTTCAGAAAAATTGTTTCACTTGAAAATCGGAGCCAAGTTTATGGTAGAAAAGTTGTTTACAGAAAAAAAAAAATTAAACATCATTGTAAAACTAATACATTTCTCGTCCACTCAAAATCTAAAATATAAATTTAATAATTGTATACTTACAATATAATACGTGTTTTATACCTGTTATAAGTTCCAACCCAGCTACTGATAAGTACTGTTAAGTTATGAATGTATGTAACTTTATTGATGTATATTTTCTACTTGAGTAAAAATTGTTCGTCGCCGTGAGTATAAATATATATATATATATATGGTAAACAAAAAATAAGCGAATTTACGAGTTCAAAGAGTCTTTGTTTGTGTATTTCAACACGGGAGCTGGGTATTTTCGTTTTCCAAACCCTTTTATCAACTTAACCCATATATTTTATTAAATCGTATTATATCATGTGAGTGCGTAGGTACCTATATATTATTATAATATGCGTTTTTTACTCACTTTCGAATATTGTGCCGTTTCACAGCACAATAATCCATTCCGTAACCCGATACGCTTACTGGACCTCAGTACACGGCCTATAAACTTCGATGGTAAAGGAGACGATCCCTTTTTTTATGACACTCTTATTACACGTTTTTATATAGAAAGCAGGGAAATGGAATGCTGCAATGCTCTGTTGAAATAGGACTACTTCTTGCCATCTGGGAATAAAAGATCTCTAAATTATTATTAAAATATTGATATTGATGTAATAAATAATTATCAGTGAAAAAAAAAAATGGAGTTTGCAGCGTTGTGTTTTTCGATTTCCGTTATATCTGTAAACCGTTTCACTGAAATATAATTATTTTCTATATTCGTTGCTAAATTTAAACGTGTTCTTTAGGAACCTACGTATTTGATACGTCAGAATTTTAATTCGGAATAATTCACCTATAGGTAGTCTGCGAGTAAATTTAATTTTCATTTATCTGTAGAAAAGATAAATAAGAAAAATATATATATCTAGATAATTTATCTATAATAGACACCGCCATATTGGCGACAAACGAAAGTAACAGTAGAAGAATCGTACGCGTGAACATTCCGTGTGATTAGTATATAGTTTTCTTAGTATATTGGTCAACGTTCCGCCGCGTTCGTTTCGTTTTATTTTTATTTTCATCAAAAAACTGAAGTAAATAAAAAGGACAATAAAGCTAGTGTCTTTGTCACTGTTTTAAAAGTCGGGCTATTTTTGTACGCGATTTTCTATATGGACAGTGTTTTTTTCCGGAAGAAAATTATTTGTTTTTTTTTAAACGTGCGTATTTCAATATAATATGACATTCAACAAATCAAATTGTTTCTATTAAAAATATTAAACAAGCAATTACGAGTTCAATGCAATATCAACGATAATGGTAATTTAATTATTATCACAGTAAACTTCTCAAAGACTCGGCGAGAATGTCACCTTGTCGCTATAAACTATGTCCATCTCGCAATCGCTGATTACATATTAAAATGTAATTATATGCTGCGGAGTGCGAGTGGAAATATCGTCAAATTATTATTTTACAAAGGAACAATTATTATACTAATGTCAACATTACAAATTTCCTATCTATAAATTATCAGTTTTTAAGGAATTTTTTGTTTTTATACATATTATATTAGGTAAACTCTCTCACCTCGTGTACGGGTGTATAATATTATGTGCTCGTCTTCTTGGAAATATTTTTTTTTTCCAAATAACAAAATCTTATTCAATAAATAGTAATAATTATTGCCCGTTGTAATTTAATACCTATCTCGTACAATATAAATCCGTATGCCGACGCGCATAATAATAATATTATAATAGGTATTACCTAATAAAACTGGTTATTCGTGTTGATATTCAGACAGTATACACCGATATTATAAAATACGTAAACCTATTTCTGATAAAAAAAAAATAAAAGTTCGTTTTAACTAATAATGTACGATGCAGTTCTGACGGGGTGAACATCACGGGCCAAGGTTACGCGTATCGCGTTGATCAATTATTTAAAATAGGTATGTTTTCACGTATAGGCCCGTCTTCTTATTTTTCTTCGTGTCGGCCGTCCGGTTTTTTTGAATTAAATTTTCTCGATTTATAAACCTACCAACCTATCTAACCGTGTACAGTATACAAAGTCGATTTACATTTTGCGTCGTAGATGTCGTGTTGTTTATTATAGTCGTACGCCGCGAACAATAAATTAAAACTACGTACTTCTATGTATAGGTTTATATACGACTGCTGTGTCGCGGTCGATTCACAACGGTCGGAGATAAAATATCGTCATCGGAAAAATATCCAGAGTGTAAAATTCCAAATCACGGGGAAAAATATAAGACATAAACTAAACGGAACAGACGCTGAAAACGTGGGAGGGGCCCGTGGGAGGAGAGGGAGTCGACTAACAGTAAAGACGCGCGCAATAAATACGGAGAAAAGTTAATTTCAGGTCTTCGGTGACATTTTTTTATAAATCCACGGCTTTTGTGCTCGATCCAATTACTTAATTGTTCCGTGTATACAGAATCAGTAACTCTCATCCGTAAAAATAAAACGCGGGCGGGAATAACGAGGTGAAAACCACAAAACCAAGACTTGGCAATAACGAGTTAAAAAATTAAAAGTTAGATTAATTTTAGCTTTCATTTTTTTTTTTTACATTGACTTCATAATTTACTAGTTAATTTTTAAATTGAATGTTTTATTTTTATTTTTTTGAAGGTTGTAGAATCTATATTCTAATTAAATACATAACCTCTCGCACTTAGCATTGATCGTTCTTATTTTCAAAAAAAATCACAAAATATGTTTAATCATTTTCACCGTGAAAATAAAAATCGATCAAAAAACAACAATAATAATAATAAATTAAATGTTTTCATTAACTCTTAACGTGTGAACTCGTCAACTTTTTCTCAATTAACTTAACTAAATTAATATTATACAGTAATTTGCTAAGCGTTCAACAAAAGTGTATTATTGCGATATACGTTTATTATATATTGCGAGAAAATCATTTTATTATGCATAATAATATCATGTATTTCTCGAGGGCACTGGAGGATCCCGGAAAGAATTTCGTCGGTGTCCTGTAATTAACAAGTAGATACTCTAGTCGCCAAACACTTTTCGAGCGCAGCATGTCAGTCATATTAAATAATAATAATATATTACGTATTTTTATCTCACTGTCTCATCGTATCTTCCTAACGAGTGACAATCTCCGGATAAACACGAGAAATATAAGTAATAACGTATTATTGTTAAAGCTGGACAAGTTGAATATATATATATATATATATATATATATATAATGTATATTTTTTCTAAGATGGTCGGAGCGCATCTAATTTGAATACGTTTTAGATAAATAACCGTTGGGAAATTGAACATTCTTCTCGATCTCTAAATTCAATTTTTTTGAGTATGTATGCATTTTTTGAACAATTACCTGAGTTTTTTAGAAATAAATTTTAAATGTTCAGTATTGGATATCCCTAGAATTATGATATTAATTTTGTAAATTCTGTGAAAATATCGAATTATATTTGTATTCATTTTAGGCATACCAAATTTTAAATCGACTTCCCAAAAAACCTAATCAATCGGTCAACAAAACAATGTGAACATTGAAAACTAAAATGGAGCATTGAAATGTATGTCTAATTTCCCACAGCTTATTGGTCTAAAACGTCATATTCATCAGAAAAAAAACCGGTAGTTCTCCTATCTTCCACGTAAAAATACGTAATTTTCATTCAAATTAATGCTATACATTATTTTGAAAATAATGTTCAAGTGAAAATATTTTTCTATATGTTTTCGATTCCGAACTATTTCGTTTTTTAGCATTTTGCTTTTTATAATTGGAAATTATTCACTCGACTTAATTATCGAATAGTTTACTACTGATAGTTACTAATAGTTTTCTACTGGGTACTATTTGCGTGATTTTCAGTATCCAATCAATCTGTAGTTAAACTACTCAGTTTTTAAATTTGAACATTAAACTATACCGTGTTATTAGTAGGTTAAAAATCACGAATTATACGATAGATGTGTGATAAAGTTAGTGCTATGGTCCGGTGCATTGGAAGGTAATAATAAATTACAAAGTATTTTCCGTGAATAAGAATTAAGTGGCATTTATAATATTATTAAGTTCAATATTAATCTAATGAATTCAAATGTAGGTATGAAGGACCGTCTGATGTCAAAATCTTATAATAGTACCTGGGTATAGGGGGGGGGGTTAACTAGACATTTTGTTTTTCATGACCAATAATAGAAGGTCATTATGAATTTTTATTGGACTTGACTATGATGTAATAATTTGTACGTTGGTTACTTTGAATTAGTTAGTCAAAAAAGTGCATTTTAATAATACGCGTTTTCTATACACGATATCGGTGTAGAGGCTTTCACGCATCAAAATCACATTGTGTCCGTTTCGTTTTTGGTAATCGATTACGCGTTATTCCGAGACGAGTTGTCACAAAATGATCGATTGTTAAAACGTGATCCGACCGAGTATAGCTTGGTAGGTATCTATAGTATGATCATTCCGGAATCAGACAAACATTTTGACACATCGGCGTACGGGTATGTGACCGAGTGGAAAAACAAACGATTCGTTTTTCGGCGAGGTCGTCTCGTGATTTAGGGTCTACTTCGGAGGCAACGGCACCGGTAAAAATGATCGAGAGTGGTCCGTTTTCACTTTCGATCGGAATGTCGGACGCGCAGAGCGGTATAAGAAAAAAAAAAACTGATGGGGTCATTGTCGTCGTCGTTTTGCCGCCCAGACGTCTCGACTGTTGCGCAACTGCAGTAATAACAACAATAATATTATTTTTGACTGCTTTCGGGCGGTGATGCCTCTTCGGTAACATAAACCACGTTATGAGTTAGGTTATAATTAATAATAATTATCGACGGACACATGGGTAAGTGCATACGTACAATCTGTTATAATACATGATGCGATTTCGTTTCAATAATTTATTTCGCGAGGGGAAATTTCCTCACTTATCCCCTCCAGTATGGAGTCCCATAGCGAGTCGTACAGCAAAAGTGTTAAGAATAATCTGATTGGAGATAATAATAAACGAAAAAACGCTAAATACAGTTTTATAAGGAGTTTTACTGCCTATATTTTAAAATTTTGCAAATACGAATTGAGCGAGTTGGCTATATCTATTATAATCGGAAACGGAGGATTTTTATTGTAGTTATTAATTATAGAGAAGAGCGTTCAAATTGAGAACCAAGTAAGACGTATTAAATAAGATTACATTACGACAAGGGCCATAAAAAATGTGATTTCAAATTTTCTACTGAAAAGAAATACGGACGACAGAAACGGATGTACGAACACTATTTTTTTCGAATTTTCCCATCAAAGACGTTGTAATAGATATACATTACACACCTGTCGGGGAAAAACGAATTCTCTCGTTATACATTTTACATATTTGAAAGTCGAGTCATCGTAGCACTTAAACCGCGCTCAAAGGCCGTCATTTCCTTAGCCTCAACGTGGAGCAGTACACCTATAATATATGTATATATAAAAGACAACTCGAACATGTTCGTCGAAACTTTATTCTCACGCATCTTAAATTGCTCTGCATGTGTTCGAATCAACTTAAAATACAAATACGTTCACGAGCACGTTATTATACTTCAAAATATTTTAGAATCCTTTTTCTACACTCGCTTTTTTCGCCGTTTGGTCCGATTATATTTTGTGATCTTCTCGACTTTCGCTCACGCCGATATTATTACAGAAATTACCTCACCCGCGTCGCTACATCGTCTGTCATAAGAAATAAAGCCGAACACTTAACTAATCACAAGCGGGTTCGGGGAGACGGCCACCACAACATTGGTCGGAGAGGAAAGGGAAATGGATTTATACGACCGACTTCGTATCATAATATTATTATAATATACGCGCGAAACAAAATCGTATTTGTTATGAATTCGAAACGGCCGATGTTATCACCGCCGTCGGTTCCGACTTAAATTGCAGGCGTATTTTGAATTGCGACAGACCGGCGGCGATTTTCTCGAAGAGATTGTAAAAACCGACGACGATGACGTCTTTGTCCATTACCTCCCCTCAATCCCCAAAGGGCGATAAAATCGTTTCGAAAACGACTATAGTGTCCGAAAGACATTTTTTTTTTTTTGGATTTTACATACCCGACGCCACCGCCGCCGCCACGAAGATAATAATATTATTATACGGCCTTTGGACGCGTACGCCGTTGTTGCAGACAGACGTGTTTTGTAACCAAGTGCTTCTGTTCCATACAATATTTTGGCATTTTGGTGAAAATTGCTGTGATTACACGCTGACGCGTCGTCTCATTTGCGTAATACCTTGTTGATTATATTACATTGATTGTGTATAATATAATCAATGGTAACATATAAAGACAGCCCTAAATCTATATAAAACGGGAATGAAAGCTGAAATATCTGTACGCCCCTCTTCCTCGTTATATTTACGATTAGCTCTAAATTTGGAATATTTTTACACATCTTTACAGCGACGAAAGAAAAAAAATTCTAATGGAAAAACGTTTCAAATATTAAAAAAACTACAAGAAAAATCGAAAAAACCCTTATTGAATTGAATCTCGTATTGTATAATTTTATATTGGATCGAACTTTTAGCGGACACAGTATTTTAGATCCTGAGCGAAGCGAGTAATGTATTGGTTTTATAATAATATTAATTTTTCTTTTCTGTGAACAGCTTTTCTACCATAAATCTTGCTCCTGTTTTCAAGTGTAGTACTTTTTTTGAAAGTAGATCTGATGAAAGTGGTACTTTAAGAATGTAATTTGTTGATCTTCTCAGGCGTCTTCATGATAAATGGGAAAAACCAGGGGAAAACGTAGGAAAAGTTGGAAATTGTACGAAGTATATTATATTTTCAATTTTGTTTTTTTATTGTAATTCAGTGAAATATATTCGTAGAGACTTTGAGAATTTGGAGAAAACTTATATTTGCCTTTTATAGATGTTGTTTTAAAATTTTAACATTAAATATTGACGAAAATCGTAAATATAACGGCCCTTCAAAACATGTATATCCGAACTCCGTTCAGTATCGTTTTTCATTAGCAAAGATTAATCGTCGCGTACGGATATATATTAAATTTTCATCTATATATTACCTTTCTAACTTCTCGCCTACAACAGTGGCACACCCATCGTGCGAAGTATGTCCGTTTTTTTTTTTTTTTTTTTTTTATAACCATTTTAACAATATTTCTACGGACGTATTAGATTTTCGCCGTTTAACACGTTTGTTCATTGGTCGATTACCATAGCCGATTTTTTATTTTTCGATAAAAATCGCTATCGAATCTATACGCGCTATCAGTCGCCATTCATGTTTGCGCGCCTATGTACAGGTAACAATATTATACCTATATCGTAACGTAACATTCTACATTTTTTTTTTCCAAATCAGACACGTAAAATAATAATATAATAAACGTCTCAGGATCGTCCGGGGTTACCGTACGCCTATAATAATGTAAATTTATAACGATGTTACGCGCGCCTGCGGGCATTGTCATCCCGGACGACCGGTTTTCGTGTCCGCGTATACCGCCGCCGTTCGAAATTCGAATGCTATTTACGGCCGTCTCGAAAATAATAATCATTACGCAACTCGGTCGTCCGGACGGCGGACGAAGATCCGCGACCCGGCCTCGGGCCCCAACGGCGTTTTATTATTATTATTCATATTATTGGTCATCGTCGGGCGGCCGCCGGCGATATCGCAAGATTTGTATCGCCGGAATAAATACAATATATTAGTATTATAATAATACTAGCTGAATTACCCGGCGTTGCCCGGAAACAAATTCGTGACAAATTAGATAACGCCATGTACCGTCTTAAATTCATAATTATCGATAATATACATAATAGCAACCTAATATCTATAGATAAGCGCATCCTTTCGGCACTATTTGTGGAGCGGCCAAGGTTTGATTTTCTTTTCTCGGGCATAATGTGACCAATAAAAAAAGAAATCTTTCAAAATTAACAACCAACACAAAAAACTAACTGCCTAAAAACAAAACCAATAACAAAAAAATCCTTTAAAATTAACAACTTACCCAAATCCTAATTAATTATTAACTAACTTAATTAAAACTGCATGACAATTGGATAAGAAGTGTCGAAGCCAAACCGTAACAAAGATTTCCCTCTTTTGCTTGATTTCAGTTTTACGCACGTCCGAACTGCTGGTAGTGCGCAGTGCAAATATATGTTATGCAAGTCCAAATTAATTCTATAAATAGAATTTGTATGCGTATTGGTTTATGTTANTGGATAAGAAGTTTCGAAGCCAAACCGTAACAAAGATTTCCACTTTTGCTCGATTTCGGTTTTACGCACGTCCGAACCGCTGGTAGCGAGGAGTGCAAATGAAATGAACGTTTAATATTTTATACGTTACGCAAGTCCAAATTAATTCTACAAATAGAATTTGTATGTGTATTGGTTTATGTTATCGGTGTGCATTTTATCGTTCATTATAATAAAATAGGAGTATTGGCGTACGCGCGATGCATGAGATTATTTTCATCGATAAACTTCTCGGAACAATTATTCTTATCTACACGACGACCGGACGACGGCGAACAAAAAGGATAGGTTGCAGGTAGCCGGAGACCCACGGGCCGCCGTGCCGCGCAATACGAATTGGCGGTGAATAATTATAATCGTTAATTACCCCACTAAAACGCAACATTTTTGAAAATCCCTCCTTACTGCGCGGTGAAAATATGAGAAGAACCCATATTCCAAATTTAAAGTCCGTGCGTCACGTAGTTTTTGAGATACAGCGATCAGTCAGTCAGTGGTATTTGGATTTTATATGTATAGATTACCATAACGCAACGATGACAATAATAGGTACAGTACGAGCGTTGTCGTCCGGGCGCGCGCGCGACTCCCTATATAATACTATAAACATCCGCCGATAATGCCCGAGCGCATATACCGCGTAATAATGTTATAACAGTAACGACGTCCGTCGGGTTCCTTTCACGTTTTTTTTTTTTTTTTTTTCGTTTCTTCCATAGCGCACTCACGCTCCGCGCGACCGAGGTACGGTTACGACCTTTGACCTGGCAGCCCCGACGGGAACGTATACCTACCTACTGTACACGCATAACTGTATACGCGTATATAAGATGTAATCCTTTCGCTCGTTTCGACCTCCACTGCCGCGCCGTCGCCGTCGCCTCGAGGGATCGGCCGCGCGCCTTTGATCCGTACCGGCGTGCGGCGGCGACGGCGCTTTCTCCGCGACCGGAAATCGTAACAATATCGTCGTCCCTGGTCGCACGCGTCTAGTTGTAGTTGTATTGTTATCGTACGGTTACGCGAAAAACTACAAAACCGCAAAACAGCAAAAAAAAAAAAAAAAAAAAACAAAAAAATTAAAAAAAAAAAAGGCAAACAAATAATCCGCCGATAATATACGTCTGTTATTTGCGGTCTTAACTTTCCGTCCGTAATATTTCTAAAGCGCGAACCTTCTCGTTTTCCGCGGTTTTGTTACTCGCGTACATATAAACTCAGTATTATCGTATTATCATAGCGTAAATACCATAATCCATAAGAATATAATACAGATTCGCAGGCGTCGAGTTAAAAAAAAGAATGAATGATCGTCTTGACTACAGCTTTTGCGTCTGTTAAAAGCAACGTACAAAGACCGATACAATCGTAATAAGTCCGATAGAATTATCAACTACTGCAGGAGCGACTTTTATCATTTTAACAAAATATAACTACTGTTATCGGTTCGATAATTTGAAGACCCGTTTTCGGTTCGATAAATATTAGAAATCGTTTATTATGATTGTTATTTTTTAAAATAATAAATTACTATCGAAATTTCAACGATAGAATATTAATCGTTTCGCAGGTTTAATATAATTTTACACTATACACTCTTCAATATTTAAATTTTATTTCGATGGCCTCGTTGAAGTATTGGCATACTTCGGTTACTTTTTGATTTTCTTGTATTTTTCTTAATAAATTGAAAAAATGGTAATTTTTAGTTTAGTTTTTGTTGATTTCTAGGCAGTTTTGGCTCAGTATCCTTTTTCGTTAGCAATCGGTTTATCGTTACCTACAGATATTAATTAAATTATTCTATATTATATCGACCCATTCAACTGCCTTCCTAAAATAGTGGCACCCCCATCAGCATGTAACTATCAGGCTTTTATTTTTTTTTATTATTGTTTTTAGTAATTTCGTATGAATACGTTTCGTAAATATTTGGGTTTAAAAAATATTGAATAATTACAAGCGGAATATAAAATCACTGCAGTTGGATTACCGGCCCGAAAAATAACCCAACGCTAATTAGTTTAATATTATAAACAAATGTCGTCTTGAGTGCAATTATTTGTAAACTCCCGCGAAAAAAAAACAATTGTTTGCAATATATTATTATTAACAAATAACTATATGGAAATTATTTCCACGTAGTCGTAGGTACAATTAATAATTACGCCTGGGGAATCCGCGTTCAATTTGAAATTGATAAAAGTTTCACAAACATTTTGTAAATCGTCCAAAAAACGAACGCGTATTTCGAAAGGACAATGTGAGAATAACATTTTATATAATAATTTCACAATATTTTGATAATTCGGTATTCTCTGTTAATGCAATTATTATTATTGTACGTGTGTACGAACACGCGGGTGACAAATGATTTGTTAACATTCCATTTTTAAACGTCTCTCACGCTCAATGTGAGCATCGCAATACGTTACTTATACTATATTAATTTCGTTCCGAATAGGTCCGATCGTTTGCGAAAACTTGTCCTAAAATTCTAACAACATGTAACCGTTCCGTCGAGATTCGATAAATTAATTGTATAACAGTTATCGCACGATTTTCAATATTTGTTGGCGTTATGTGATATTTCAGTGATTATATTTCCAGAAAATTTCAGGAGATTTCTATAGAAATAGAAAAATTCATCGTGTTGCATAATCAGGATAGTCATCATATTATTACCACAGTCTATACTTATGTACAAATACAAATTCAGAAATATATTTTTGGACAAATAGTAGGTATAGGGTCTATTTTTCTTTCGTACGTCTCATAGGAAAGAAAAAAAAATCATCTATGAATATAATCTCAAATATTCTATTATTATTTCGGCTATTTCACGAGTACACGTCAGATAAATCGGAACTCTCGATTTTTACGCAAAACCACATTGACATCGGGTAGGTCAAAACGCAGAGGTGAACAATTTTTTTTCGCTTATTCTGTGGAATTTTGTTATTTTGTTATCATGGGCGAAGAATGGGTTAAGGCCTTGAATTGCTTTCACATATTGTTGCGGTTTTTGGACATTTCCAACAGCGATACATTTTGAAGCTTCAAAAATTTCTAAAATATGAGCATTACATCGTGTGAAATCTCGGTTATTGATACGTGTATTATAAAAAAAAAAAAACATAAAGAAATCGAATAAACGGAAGTGGATATATACGGTCACATCGGGTATAATACATACTTTGTTCAAATATTTCCCTAAACATATTACAGTATCTATCGACAGATTTACGATCAAAGGTAATTCAATATTGTATGTTTTATCCCGTGCGTTTTTTTTTTCTGCTGCAGCCAGTTTGAAGTACTAATTGTAATAATTTAGTCTAACTGCGCGCGTGGAAAACAAAAACGGTGATTGTTTATTTTTTTTTTGTGCGCATAAATAAATAATATATTATTATGTATTTAAGTACAAAGTTTTTTTTTTTTAATCAGTTTGTATACCGACGATCACGGTCTCGAATTTAACACTACCAGACGACGATGATGACGACAACAACAACAACGCTATAGTTAACAAAACAAAATCGTCGTGGCATGTATATTGATAATCCTCACGCGGTTATAGTTAACATATTTTCGGGAGATTTCTCGCAAATTTATTTTATAAATTCACGAGATATTAAGCCGTTTTGTACGTTATTATTTTTATCACGAACATACCGTGGCGGCAATCAGTTTTGACAAAAAGATTATGATTTTAATAATAACAACAATATTTTAAAAAACACGACTTAACAATATTTCATATCGTATTTACATAACGGAAAACAACAGAAATTTTTTCTGTTCATTTCGTGTAAGTTAAACAAATTAACATAATATATATATTTGATATATTTGAATTTAAACATTTGCACATCACTATAGATAAAATAGAGCATAGCGTATATAATATGCGTACACATTGGCACCTATACAAATAAAACCGTTTCCGATTTAAAAGTTCGAATAATTATTGTCGTGATAAATCGATAGTCACATTTGATACTACGTTCCTAAAAAAAAAAAGAAAATAAACGATTTAGATGAAAAAAGAAAAAAAAAACAAACATATTTTTCATCTAATAAATAATCCTATCACATAATATTATGATTGCGAGCACGGGGGAAATGTACGGACACTAAAAGTCCATTAGTTTCTAAAAATCGATTTGTCGACATTTTTCAAAACACGCGGACTGCATTTGTATTTTATATACGATGATGATATTATACATTCGTATTGAAATTACAAATACAAAAATACGGACAGGACATAAATAATATTATATAATATGGGGACTGGGTGTCGGTCGTTCGTCTCGATTCGGAAGTCTGTGTATTTTGGATTGTCAGTATATTAAACATTGTCTGAAAACGCAATGATAAATCGATGAAAGCGGAAAACGAATGCTGTGACGAGACGTCAAAAATGAGTGTTTTTGAGCTGATTTTCGAATTTTAAAAAATAATTGCGTGACCTCAGATTATACGAATAATCGATATTTATTGAATGGCAAGTAAGTTATTTTTGTACGAATACTTAGAAACATTATTATTAACAGTATTTTATGATTTATGTGATCGGAAATACAAAATAAAAAATAGACTAGGTGTGAAGATATTATAGAAAAAAATATTGAAAATTTGACTAAAATCATTTTAATACGGGAACGGTAAAAAACTTCGCATGTAGTGTTGTAAAAAAAATACATTATCTAAATAATGATAGAGAATAATTATTAAAACAACTATCTAAATCAATGTTAAAGATACATAGTTATTTATTTGTCTAGATATAAAATAGCTAACTATTTTTATTACTCATCAGTTATTATGAAACTAAACACTGAAATCGGTGCAAGTATAATAAACATCTAGATTTAAAAAAAAAATGTGTACATATTTGATCTATTTTTTCTTACTCAAAGCTATAATTATTTAGATCACTTAAATTTTAATTTTAGAAAACCTGTTTACAACTCATCTGGACAAAAAAAAAAAAATAACCTAGATCAAACACATAATATACTGTTTGCGTTCGTCTCTTATTTTTTTTTTGTACGTGTTTTAGGCCGACGGATCGCAAGAGCTGCTGCAGCTGGACCCGGTCCTGCAGGACGAAGCTAATGGCGTTATTATGATGAACCAGGCGTCTGTAGCCGTGGCCAGCAGGTTCGTCCGGCAGAGCGGCTATGGGAACCAGGACAACGGATTTGAAAAGCGGGTGCAGCTCAAGGGAATTCGGGTGGACTGTGGGGCGGCTTCGACTGGCGACGGAATCATATCCGTAGAAATCGAATTCCTTGAGCCGTTCTACGGTATCGTATACAGTAAGGGCCGGCACGACGATCCTCGATGCAGGTAAGCGAGCGGATACCAAACACTTGTGGCGTTTAAGGGACACGGGACTATAACGCTTGTAAATCTATTTGAATGTAAATCGGAATTGATTTTCTAGTTGATAAATTAAAATTTTTAACAAAATAGTTGGTTAAAGTTGCTTAATACTTTTAAAAATTGGGTGTGTGTCGTAAATATAACGACTTTAATCTATATACAGTTTACATTATACTTTAATCACTTTATATGGTACTATATGGGAATCAAAATTCTGGAACAAAAAAAAATTGAGTCATTTTAAAATAAATATGAACCAAATAATTGCAATTGAAACTAAAAATAAAAATACTGAAAACTGTGATGGCTGAAAATGGCTGTGGATGGGTACAGCTATTGTTTTAAGTGAGAAATTGGGAAGGTTAGGATTCAGAGTTTTTAAATTTATATCTATACACTACGATAAACCATTGCTTACGAAAAATGATTCGGAGCGAAGTTTGGTAAGAGATATTTTGAAATTCTGTAAATGTACATCAACTGGGAGCTGGCATGGTTCATACTCTTCTTCCTTAATGCAAATTTATTACTCGATAATTTACGCCAAGATGGAATATGTTTGTGTTTTCTAAGATTTAATGGGTTTACTCACTACGAAAGTCTCAATTCGTAACATTCAAGTTGCCTATGCATAGCTCTTAGAGTTTTAAAGTCTATTCTCAATGATGCAGTTAATGTGAAGTCACTTGTTCCTCACTGTACATTATATATCAATGGATAACTAGTAAATTGCTTCTGAAAAAACCTTCCATCACGCCATCTTCTATCATTGATTTTTATTCTCTCATCAGGTTTTAAAATTTAACGACTATTGGCTTTACTCAATTTATTCTATAGGATTCTTTTATACTTTATAACATCCGTGTGTTTTTGTATCGTTATTTTATATATTTTATATTGAGATTTCAACAAAAAAAAACAAAAATACAAAAAACATCAACATTTTGCATAAATATTACCGGTTTTCTCCATTATTAGGAAAATTACAAAGAAATTTAAAAAAATTATCTCTTCGTTGCACAAACAAGGCAACATGTGTTTACCAGAAACGACAGAATTGATCCAAATTATCGGAGAGAAATGTCTGTTCAAAAAGTTTTCACAGGCAGGAAAAAAAAATTAAAAAAAGAAAAAAAAAATATCATAGTAAAACTAAAATATTATTCACTTATTGTCAGAATCTAAAAGTTACCAGAAAAAATTATTTCCACAGTGAAAAAAAAAGTGATATTGTTTCAATAGCTGCCACCAAATAAATATAAATAATAATAATTGCAAAACAATAAAAAATACAATTTTTTATATTATGATTATTTAATGGCCTTATTTTTTGCTACCCTCTGTAAATTCATTTTATTTTAATTTTATATAAAATGCCACCATCTTGCGTATAAAGATGTGTTTTTAATGTTTCATATACATATTATTACACTACGCTTACTCATAAACGTTTAACGGAATTGACGACATTTATTTTTCTTACGATGACAATGATAATTTTATCCTCGGCCGAATACTTTCCCAAGATTCGAAAATGTCTTGGATGATATTACCCCGCAGACAACGTTTAATATAACACTCATCTATTTTCGGAGAAAACGATGCGAAAAGTGCTCGTAACCGCTATAAAGCAGGAATAATATTATTTTTTCAACGAAATGTAATTTTTTTTTGTAGAAAACCATTGCAAAATATAAAAATGTATTTTTGTTTTTGTTGTTTTTTTTTTACACTCACCCATATTTTTTATATTTTATTCAAATATTATTACTAACAAGATTTAACAGATCATCTGTTTTATTTATATTCGATATAAATGATGCATACATTGTTATATAAGAGTTAATAAGAAATATAATAACTAAGCTAATATTTCGGAAAAGACGGGGTAAACCAATTCATTAATCTACTGTTGATAGGTATGTATTTGGAAATCCAATAAAACAAATAAATAATATTCATCAAAGGCATTTGACGAGAAAAATATGGGAAAATTATTTATTATGATTTACTATATTTTTTTATTATTTTTATTTTGTAGATTTGTGGAAAGCAATTCTGGGAAAAATATTTATCAGTTTCAAATACCAGTGGAAGCTTGTAGACCTCCCGTAGCACATGATGGTTGTTCGTCAACCGAAGAGGGCGGTGGATGTGACTTGGGATCCGTGGAAAACACCATAATTATCCAATCGGATGATAAAATTCAGGTTGTTAACAATATTAAAATATTAATATCATAATTATAAAATCTGTTTGTTCCAATATTGTTGTTATTTACAGGAAGCGTGGGATTTAGCACGAAAAGTATCTTGTCCTTCAGAAACGAAACCTGGTACAGGTAAACGAGTTCGTTTCAAGCCTATTGTAGTTGATATGTTAGAGGTAGTATCTGTTTCGTCCGGTGACCAAGGCACATTACAATGCTGGATGGATATACAAAGAGGACAATATCCAAATGTGAGTATATATTTATCGAAAATAAAAAAAGGTAAGTTGTTCTAATTACAAATAACTGATTTTAGACGTCACCGGTAGACAAAATAATTAAAATTGGAGAATCACTATCACTAATCGTATACGTAAAGAGTACAGACGAACCCTACGACGTAAAAGTAAGAGAGTGTTGGGCGTATGATAATGACAACTATGAATCACCAACCACTACAAATATACAACTGACAGATGCAACAGGATGCCCTAAGTATGATGATAATGAAATATTTGACAGTTCTAAGATATAATATGTATAAGCCTATATAAAATAAGAAACACAATATTAAAAGTATATTAATTTCTAGAAGAAAAAAACTGATATCCAATTGGCAAAAGACACAAACTGTTGAAAAAAATGGTATAACTACTATAGCGTATACAAATGTAACTGCATTCAAATTCCCAGACAAACAACAAGTATTCCTCACATGCAACGTTGAAGTAAATATCTACAAAATAAAAAAATTAAAAATTTTATTCTAAAACTATACAAATATAATTATTAGTTATGTTTGGGAAATTGTCCGGAAGAAAAATGTCAATCTGCATTGCCAGTTAAACCAAACAGACCACTTCCTCCACCAACATCATATCCTACGCCATCTACACAAGCTCCTCCAGTATGTTATCCCGGATCGTATGATCCAAGGTGTCAAAAACCATCCCCACCTCCGACATCATACCCCACCCCATCAACACCGGCACCTCCAGTATGTTATCCGGGATCAAGTGACCCAAGATGCCCGAAACCAACACCACCACCTACGTCATATCCCATACCATCAACACCAGCACCTCCAGTATGTTATCCGGGATCAAATGACCCAAGATGTCCAAAACCATCACCACCTCCCACATCATACCCCACACCATCAACACCAGCACCTCCATTATGTTATCCGGGATCAAGTGACCCAAGATGTCCAAAACCAACACCTCCACCTACGTCACCGGCCCCAATTTGCTTTCCGGGCTCAAATGATCCAAGATGCCCAAAACCATCACCTCCTCCCACATCATACCCCACACCATCAACACCAGCACCTCCAGTATGTTATCCGGGATCAAGTGACCCAAGATGTCCAAAACCATCACCACCACCTACGTCACCAGCCCCAATTTGCTATCCGGGCTCAAATGATCCAAGATGCCCAAAACCATCACCACCTTCCACATCATACCCCACACCATCAACACCAGCCCCTCCAGTATGTTATCCGGGATCAAGTGACCCAAGATGTCCAAAACCATTACCACCTCCCACATCATACCCTACACCATCAACACCAGCACCTCCAGTATGTTATCCGGGATCAAGTGACCCAAGATGCCCAAAACCATCACCACCACCTACGTCATATCCCATACCATCAACACCAGCACCTCCAGTATGTTATCCGGGATCAAATGACCGAAGATGTCCAAAACCATCACCACCACCTACATCATACCCCACACCATCAACACCAGCACCTCCTCAATGTTTCCCTGGTTCTTATGATCCCAGATGTCCCAAACCAACTGCCCCACCAACTTCACCTGCTCCGGTTTGCTATCCAGGGTCACCTGATCCACGATGTCCTCAATCTTCTCTACCTCCATCAACTACTCCTTCGTATCCATCCTCTACTACTGTATTGGCTCCAATATGTTATCCTGGTTCTCCTGATCCTAGGTGTCCACAGATATCCGCTATACAAACACCTTTTATCTGTGTTTGCAATAGTTCTACGCCTAGGCCTATTCCACCTCCATTATGTTATCCAGGATCTACCGATCCTCGATGTACTTCACAAGAAACGGTGGTCTGCTATCCGGGTTCCCCTGATCCAAGGTGTCCAAAGTATCCTTCTTCTACTCACGAACCACCTACTTATTTACCACCTATTGATCCGGTATACCAGCCAGGAAACGTTCAATTCATTCAAGAAGTTACGACACAGTATCCATCATATTTATCTCCAGATGATAGTTTTGGTGGACAACAACAGCTCGATATTTTTAATCAAGGTAATATATGTTTAATTATTATATTTTATACTGCCTGTCTTGATATTATTATATTTTTAAATTAGATCAAATTCATTCGAATTAATTTTTTTGTTATTTTTATTGCAGCTTTAAATGGCTTTAATGTTCAAAGAAGGAATGTAGATTCCGGTATTGAAAATTTGAAATTAGAACTTAAGAATGAAATTGGAAATGAAAATTTGGATGCATTGGACAGTTTAGGAGATGATTTGTTGTTTGAGTTACAGAGAGATTCACTTTTAAAGAAGAAACGTTCAACCTAATTGATTGTGCCAAGTCAAGTCTGTAAATATGGCTTTCTAAAGAAAATTTGATTTTCGTGTCGATGGTTAAACGTGTGTAACTTAATTTTATTTGCTCAAGAGATATTACGAATGTAAAGCATTGTTACCATCTATCGTTACCATTTTGTATTAGTTTTAAATAATATGTTAGCGTCATACACATTTGTGTACATCATATTCTTACATTTTTTTTACATAATTAACATGTTGTAATATGTATTACTGAATATTTATTTATTCGATTATATTTTATTTTTTGAAATAAAACATACTTACTTGATTTTTTAATTGATAATCGAAATTAAAATAAGCTTAAATATATTTCCTCCCTCGTTATTTTTAACCATCATTTCACCCTTTTAATTAGGACACATGACCAAAAACTTTGGCCAGCCCACAAGATAGGGGTTATTGTGGCGGTAAGACAGACGCGACCGAATAGGTCAGAGCCGTCTCAAAGACAAAATACAATGGGGAGGAGGATGAAAAGAAATTAAAATGCTAAATTATAATATTTTGGTAATATCAAAGATTACAATTTTAGGGGCTCCCTATTGGATACTACCATTTCATTGATGTACAACTAAATTTTAAAAATTAATTCTATATAAAGAATAATACGAAAGGTGGCTATTAAATAACGAGACTGGTTACGAAAAAGTGTTTTATTATAAAAGTTATTCTACATTCAAATGCTCCCCTTCAATATAACCCTCGCCACATACCGTTTCATTCGTTTCTTCCATTGATCGAGGCAGTGCTAGAAGTCTGTTTTCGTAAGAACATTCAGGAGTTCCGTCGATTTTTGTTTCACCTCTTCCATCGACTGAAACCGGATTCTTTTTAAGGCAGATTTTATCTTCGGAAACAAGTAAAAGTCGCAGGGTGCCAAGTCGGGTGAGTAAGACGCGTGTTCGAGTACTGGAGTGCCTTAAGCGGCCAAATAACGCTTCACGCTTTATCCTNACTGTCAAATAGTAATGTTGGTTTACAGTTTGACCCTCTGGAACCCATTCAGTCATCACGATGCCATTGATATCGAAGAAAACGGTTTTGAATTTGGATTACCACTGAATTGGATTCCGGTGCACTCTCGACCTTCAGAAAATAATTTATGCCACTCAAAAACACGCGCCCGAGATAGGAAATCCTCACTATAGGTCTCTTTTAACAACTTAAAGAACTCAATTGGAGTTTTTTTTAATTTAACGAGAAAATTTTACGTTTATCCGTTGCTCATGTTTTTCGTCACACATGGTTTTCGGCACGAGAAAAAAACACGTTCGTTTCAAACCACTACTGCACAAATACTATAATAGTGACAAAAACGTGTTTTGGTACGTGAATAGATAAGATATCTAGATACCCAACGCATTACTCGTTTTTTTCACTACCCATCTAGGGCACCCTCTAGGCGAGCAGTCTCGTTATTTAATAGCCACCCCTCGTATAATACCGATAATTAGTATAATTTAGTCAAAAAGTATTAAATAACACATTATTCACACGAAATTAGGAAACACCGAACTATAAATTTTAGAATTTAAAACGAAGCTAGGAATTTATTGGTTTTACAATATGATTGATTTTTTTTTTTTTACATATACTGTGTATACGATTCTACCAGTACTCTTGGTTCAATTTGTATGTGTAGCCATTTTCTGAAAGGAAATTTTTATGGGGTATTACTTTAAAGAGTTATTTTTTAATTTTTAAGCAGTATTCAAAATAATTGGATAAAACCGAAAAATTTACAAAAATAAATTTTTAATTATTACCAATTTTGTTTTTTTTTTTATTTATTTATGCAGTTTAAAATGTTCGTAGTAACTTGAAATTTTAACAGAATCTTTTGACTTTTCTAGTTGTTGTTTCAAAAAATATTTGAGCCCTTTTTAAACTATTAAGATATCTGTATGTAGATATAGATATAGATAGATATCAAATAGATACAGCCTATGGATCAATCACAACAAAGACGGGTAACATAGGCTACATATGTGTACCGTTTGTACTGAAAACGGTAACTCAAATAGGTATACAACATCCGTACCGGTACGAGACTATAATATACGTACGGACGCGATAGCGGCGGCGATTACTGTGACTATACGTTACCGTGGTAACCGCAATCCGAACGATTGGACCACGAGAGCAGCGGCACAAGTACAAGTCGCCCGGTAGTACCGTACGAATCCGCCGGCTCGAAACAACCGTCCGTCAAAGTTTATCACTGCGTAAAGTTCAATCGCCGCCGACAATGGTATGACGTGTTTTTCGAAAAAATATTAATTTCGTTACTCGTTGAAATATAATGTCGTTTATTGCAACAATATTACGATAGTATATTATTATGTAATCTACCGGTACATGTTTTTCGTAGTGTTTGTGATTTTCGCGATTTGTTGTGCAAAAAACAAAAACAAAATACATCATCTATATCAACTCGCGTAAGTTATTATTGTTATATTTTTTTTAATTGTAACTGATAAAACCGATTTTATGTCAACGAATTCACGGCGTGATTAGCAAGCTATACAAATTGTATTGAAAAAAAAAAAAATAATAATAATAAAGAATCGTTTTTAAATAATAATTAAATATCAGTGATTTAATCCGGATACAATCCGATACAATCCGAAAATGCATATGAAGGCATATAAATGTTTTTTTTCACAACTGATTCGTGCTCATAAAAAAAAAAAACTAGATTACGTGAACCATTCGTGTTTTTATAAAAACAATACAGCAAATCATAACAGTAATATGAATACGATTTAATACTCATCATTAATCATCCTTAACCTATAATGTTGATATACGTAACAATACGAATAGGTAAGTATTACGTTTGTATTATTTTCTATTGAACGAACTAGAGACGCTGAACGACTTTAGAGATTAAGATTAAAAAAGACATTTGATGGCATTTGAGTAAGAAATTATTATTAAATATATTTTAACAAATAAATATTAAAAATAATACAGATAGTACTAGATCTCAATTCAAAAGCCTCGAGTATTCAATATACGATATTATCTAATAAAGAAAAAACCTCAGACTGAAATAAACTGTTTACTAACTATACACCGAAATTTCGATGAATCGCAGACCTAATATTGATGCCACAATATATCGCCAAAAAAAAAAAAAAAATAAATAAATAATAATAATAAAACAATAAATTAAAAACAAAACTATTAAATGGGTTAATACTCGTAAATAAATATAGTAAAAAAAGACGTCCCTATGATAATGGGGATGGGTGCAGCAACTGTTAAAGGTAATTCAATTTTAATGTATACCTGTAAACAACGGTAAGCCATTGCTTACAAAAAAACGATTCTGAGCGGAGTTCAGTTGATATTGATGCATTTAAAAAAAAAAAAAATATGGCATTTTATTAAAATAATTAAATAGGCTTTCTTTATTTCTTTTTATAACATTTGTTTAATGTTATACCGATTTTCTCAGATTTCTTACGTTTTTCCTGGTTATACCATGTTTTATCCCGGTTTTTCACATTTGCCTGTAATAGTCTTAAGAAAATCGAAAAATGTCCACCTTATCATTACCACCCTTAAGTATCTCCCTAATGAAATTTCCTTTTAAAATCATTGCTATCATCATAAATTGAAGTAAAATTGCTGATAGAAAAGTTTTGTATAGATAAAAAAAAATTACAATATTTTAGTAATATATTTCGTATGTTTTCCTGTTTTTTTTTTTTTTGGTTTTTCGCATTTGATGAGAAAACTCATGAGAAAATCGAAAAGTGACTTCCCTAAAGTATCTACCTACATCGATTTCCTTTCAAATAAGATGCTACTTCTGAAAATCTAAACAAGTCTGCTGGTAGAAAAGTTGCGCACAGATAAAAAAAAAACATCTTTGTGAAACTGTAAGCTACCTCACTCCACTCAGAATCTAAACACATATAAATAAAAAAATGTAAATATAAAAATAAAAAATAAATAAAAGTATAAATGCGTCACCAGGAGTATTATTATAAGAGTATTATGCGATCGTTTTCGAATTAAAAATTCACCATCAGGTACATCACAGTCAAAATTTAAAATGTGACTAACATTACATTTAGTTATTTTTTTTTTATACACACATTTATTTATTTATATATTTTTTACTAAATTAAAGCATACGTTTTAAATGCGCATATAATTTATTTGATGGTGTTACGTCATATAAAGCCAATAATTTATTTCTTAAATATTTGGAAAAATAAACTGTATAAGGTTTTTCCTGTTTATTAAATATTTTATAATACCATGACTTTTTTTATTTATTCATAGACAAAAACAACTAGACGCCTATTTTGGTTATAAGTATAGTAGCATTAATTAATAATTATTATTTTATCTATTCTAATTTCTGTCATAATAGGTTAATTTGAATTAGACCATCTATATCGGCCATATCCGTATCTATATTGTGCAAACATACTGCTAATTATTTTTACATATTATATTATAATATCTTCGGGTGTTGGAGTGTTTCCCTGGACAACTAACGAATCCGTACTTTGTACAATGATTAAATTTTAATTTTGTATATATAATTAGTTTATACTATATTATATTGTATTAAAATATCGATATTCTAACAGACGACGACTTGACCGTAAATAATAGATTATGATGGACACGAGTACACAACGCATGAATTTATATTAAAATTAGTTTATAGAAACAGCTGATAATCCAATATTTCGATTTATGATACATCATACTAATATATTAAAGGCAGCGATGTATCGGTGACCAAAAATTGGTACCAAATATCGTGATATATTGGATCAAAGTATCAACATTTTCGATACATCGATATATTGTTACCATCTCTACAAAGGGGTTTCAGAAATCAAAATCTATAGATAAAGAACTTACTGTAGCAAAAAATTAGGCTCTTGAAATATCGTGGCCCAGAGGTCATGGTCCTCTTGAAGACCCCTTAATCTGGGCTGGGTTTACCTAGTGTAAGGGTAAGTGTTATGGAGTAGTGATTACTACAGCATAGTGTCACTTATGAACTTTTCTATAAAAACGCCTGGAAACCAAACAATCAAATTTGTTATTGGACTTTTATAATTTTGGACAGATGCTCGTACATAAAAAATATATTATTTTAGGCCAATACAGTTTTTTATGTATACTCATTACTCATAGACGGAAATGAAAATTCTCGCGATCTATCGAGACATTTTCATTTATCATAGTATGAGTTCCACACTATGAATTAGATTAGATTAGTTACATATAGGCTAAAATGTTTATTCGTCCCGTTTTTACATTAGAAATGTAAAATGATCAAAACAAATAAAACAGTATGAACGTGGGGGGTGGATATTGTATCGTGACAAAATTTGTAATAATTATCAACAAAGAAAAAAAAACGCCGGGCACCATTTGTCGAAAGTATGTATCGAAAGAGATTAAACATCGCGATGCATCGTATAGAATTATAACTATTATATATTATATACGTTTTATAAGTAAAGTATTATTTTATATATACGGAAATAGTTTTCAAAGTAAAAGTTTCGCTCTATATCGCACCGGGGACCATGTGTTACAAAGTTGCGTAGTATATTTATAACGTTAATAAATTATTATAACGACTCGAAAAATATACGAAATGCGCAGTAGTCGTGTAAATAATAAACTAAACGGTCGACAATTTTAGTTTATAATTATTATAATATGTATGTGTATAGAACAGACATAAAAAGGAATAAAAATAAAATATAGTGGATCGTATATACACCTACTCAAAAAATACCTGATTATGCATATTTATTTGTAAAGGTTCAAAGATGAAGTTACAATCGACAGTTTTGTATGAATATATGTAAGTTTTAAATATCTAATTAAAGGGATCGGTGACTGCGTATATTGCAGTTGATTTGGATAGAAAAAAAAATGTTTGAATTGCGTTTGGCGGATTTAGATTTTGTAAAAAAATTATGATTCTTTAGATTATTTATTGTAGGAGTACCTTAGTAATAAAAATTAAATTATTGTAATGGACATTAAGTAAAGTATTTTGTCTTTTACTTGTGATATAAAGAACTAGAAATAAAAAAAAAAATCAAATTATACCATTAAAGAACTAAAGAACTATAATAGGTAGGTACGTGTTCATAATTGAAATCCACCAAATATAATTTCTTTTAAGTCGACTATAATACAAATAGTCACCGATCCCCTTAATTAGATATTTTAAACATTTACTTATCTTTATAAAACACTGTCGATCCTACAGCTTTTCGGTCTAAAACATAATAAACATAATACGTAATATTCAATAGTAAAAATTGCCGTACTATTACCCTTTAAATATTGACAGTAGATTAGTGGTCAAGTCTCATCATTAAGATGGCAATTTAAATTTTTACATTATTTAAATTTTTTCAAAATCGGATACGATTTGGAAAACCGTCATCAATCCTCTTTAATATAAGAAATAACTATAATTGCTGAAGCAATAACTAATGTTATCTAGATAAAGATAAAATATACATACAAATTTAATTACCTATATGTATAGATAATCGGTAAATTTTATCTAGAAAAATAAAAAGATAGTTTGTTTTGTTAT